TTTTTACATTTTTCTATGTCATGTCAACCATGAAAAAACCAGCAAAACACTGCCTTTAAATATATAACAGGACTGTTAAAATGTTGACGTAAATTAACAGCTATATTTATTGCAAACTTTGCAAATATGCCTGAATAATAAGACATATAAAGGTTGATTTCAATTGTTGATTAATCATTTACTAACTCATTTTGAATGATCCTAAAAACCCTTAACCACTCTTAAATACAAATGGTTTGTAAATAATGCGATACTTGATTTAGTAATGAAAAATAAATCATTAACAAAGTATGAAAGTAGTAATGTTTGTAAGTAAAGAATAGAGCATTTGTAGCCGCAGATATAAACTGCTTACTAACGCTTATTATTGTAGAGTTATTGCTTAACAGAAAATGTATTCACTATTTGCTTATGCTTAATGGTTAATAGTGTGTAGTTATTATAAAGTGTTACTGAATTTTTTTTATTAAAATCTTTAAACATATTTATATTTTATTTGTAATACAATTTTGTTCTTTAATACAGCAGTAAGATATATGAACTGTTCCCCTAATTTAACCTGCTCAAAGAAAACACTCTTTCTGAATGTATCAAACAAAACACCAATACATGCACAGAAGACAGCATGATCATTTATAGCAAATAAACTATGAATAAATTATCTCACTTTTTTAATGCTGACGGTCGAGGTCTTACACCCCTATTATTGGTTATTGTGTTCACCTGCTCAACAGAAAGGGCTGCGATTGGCTTTAGAAATAAAAGTGCTGTTAACGGATGATGAGTGACATGGAAAGAACAGCCGCGGTGAAAGTGCTGTATGTGATACGTGGTTATCACAGGTAATCCATAATAGACACAGTGGAGAAAAGTTGCACATCAGACACGCTTATGTCTGGATCCACGAGAGAGAGAGAGAGAGAGAGAGAGAAGTAAAAATGGAGTTTTACAGCATTTCTCCCTAGTAGCAGGGGTGCCCCCACGGCCACTCCTGTGTGTTCTCTGGCCACCCCTGTGACCACTCTAATGGTTTTGCTGTTGATATTATTAATTTAAATGTACTTGCGTAAATGTAAAATATTTCAATAAATACATGAATGAATGAATAAAATGCAGCCACTAAATTATTGTTAATTGATTGGTGCCACTGACATAGCTGATTTACTGCCCCTCTCCCTCCCCGATTGTTGTTGACAGCACGCACACACCTTCAATAGACAGCAATGGCAATGTAATACTTACCTTAAGCTACATCAATAAGCAGGATTAATACTATTGTGGCTAAAAAAGGAATATGGATAAATGGTATTATCAGGGTCTGTAAAGTGAGTGTGTGTGTGTGTGTTTATGCCTTTTGTACAATTTGTTCAATTGTCTGTTTTAATAATTAATTCATTAATCCCCATCAAGTTTAGACATGGCATATAGTGTAAACTGTACAATAAAAATATGTAAAAAATTACTGAAAAGATATATATATATATGATCTATTACTGAACCGATATCAATAATTTTGACAACCATAACGAGTAACGATGCAGCACATAAAAAAATCTATCGGAGTAAAAGTATTAAACTAATCAAAAATATGTACTGAAGTAAAAGTGAAAGTGGGAGAAAAAGCAATACTCCAGTAGAGTACAAATACAGCCTTTTAGTACTTAAGTACCGTAGTGAAGTAATTCTTCTACTTCATTACTATACATCTCTGCTTGTCATATTCTACATCCGTAATCCTGCCTTCCCTATCCATAAGAGCGAAAGTGAAAGTAGATAATGAGAAGGCTCATCTCTCATTTTCTTGTTGTAGATGCTCTGTTTAACTATTTTCTTGTTAGTGAAATGCTCTGTTTTTCAGCTTACAATGCCGTCGTGTAAATAGCAAATGCGCCATGGCATGACGCAACTGACTCTTAAAGGGAATGGGAGATGAGACTCTGATTGGTTTATTCTGAAAACACACCTATATCTCATTAAGAAAATAAGCTCAACCCTTTTAGACCATGTGCTACGGCGCAAAGTGGATTTTTCTATCCTTGTATTAGCAAAGGTGGATTCTGACATGCCCCTAATGCGTTTGCGCCCTGCACTTTGCACTTTGTGCATTGATCGTCAAAATAGAGCCCTATATAGTTATCAATTTACCGTACATCAGTAATAAAGTGGTTTGTTGAGTAATTTTGCTAGTGCTAGAAAGAATGAGTTGATTTGGGACAATTATGAAGTCTGTTTGTTTTAGTACATGTTGTGAATTGCTGCGCTAAGCAGAACATTGGTTAGGGGAAGTGTACAGTATGATCCAATGTCACAGCAATAAGAAGAAACAAAAATACAAACTGATGTGATGAGTTTGTTCAGAAGAAAAGTAACCTAAACAGATTTTACTTCTTTTTTTTATGACACATGGTGTTTGTCTTCATTCTTCTTTAGCAAATTTTTTATTTGCCCTTCCTTTCATTGCTTTTTGATGTTTGACTGCCAACAAAATTTAAATGGTTCACAAAGTGTATGAGGTATGTATTCCTCTTTTCCCAGTTGTGCCTTTAACTGAGGTTCTCATAAAACCTGTCCATCTTATTAAAACAGCAGTGAGTCATTGTTAATGTTTTATTAATATTATTATTATTATTATCATTATTATTCATTCATTCATTCATTCATTCATTCATTCATTCATTCATTTTCTGCCGCTTTTCCGGGGCTGGGTCGTGGGGGCAGCAGTCAAAGAAGAGAACCCCAGACTTCTCTCTCTCCAGACACTTCCTCCAGCTCCTCCGGGGTGATCCCAAGGCGTTCCCAGGCCAACCGAGAGACATAGTCCCTCAAGCGTGTCCTGGGTCTTCCCAGACGCCACCTCTCTGTGGGACATGCCTGGAACACGTCCCTAGGTAGGCGTCCAAGTGGCATCTGAAACAGATGCCCGAGCCACCTCAGCTGACTTCTTCTGATGTGGAGGAGCAGCGGCTCTACTCCAAGCTCCTCCCGAGTGTCAGAGCTCCTCACCCTATCCATAAGAATGAGCCCTGCCACCCTTCGAAGAAAACTCATTTTGGCCACTTGTATCCTAGATCTTGTCCTTTCGGTTATGACCTAAAGCTCATGACCATAGGTGAGAGTAGGAACGTAGATTAATCGGTAAATCTAAAGCTTTGTCTTTCGGCTTAACTCCTTCTTTACCACAACAGACCGGTACATTGACTGCATTACTGCTGCCGCTGCACCAATCCGCCTGTCAATCTCACATTTCATCCTTCCCTTACTCGTGAACAAAACCCCAAGAACAAATCCTCCACCTGGGGTAAGGAATTTCCTTCATCCTGGAAATGGCAAACCACCTTTTTTTTCGGTGGAGTACCATGGCCTCAGACTTGGAGGTGCTGATTTTCATCCCAGTTGTGTCACACTCAGCAGCAAAAAAAAAAAAAAAAAAAAAAAAAGAACAACATCATCTGCGAATAACAGAGATGAAATCCTGTGGTCCCTGAACCGGACCCCCTCCAGCCCAAGGCTGCACTTTAAATTCTGTCCATAAAAATTATGAACAGAATTTGTGACAAGGGGCAGCCTTGCTGGAGTCCAACATGCACTGTAATCAAGCGTGACTTATTGCCGGCAATGCAAACTAGACTCTTACTCGGGGACGAGAGGGGACGAGACGGCCCTTAACAGAGGGCCTCTGACCCCATACTCCCTGAGCACCCTTCACAGAATACCACAAGGGACTCGGCCGAACGCCTTCTCCAAGTCCACAAAACACATGTTGACTGGTTGGACATACTCCCCTGAACACTCGAGCACTCTGGTGAGGGTATAGAGCTGGTTAAACGACATGGAATCAAATACAAATAGAAAACAGAAAAAAACAAATAACAGAAAAAAAAAAAACCTTTTTAAATCAGGTACAGCCAGGTGTGTGTGTGTGTTAATGTAAAGGTAGTTAGTAGTTAGTTAGTTAGTTAGTTAGTTAGTTAGTTAGTTAGTTAGTTAGTTCTAACTAGTTTGAGACTTCTGACATTTCACATTTGTCATATATATATATATATAAAAAAAATCATTTAAAAACATGGTACCCCTACTCTAAAAAAATATCTAGTCTACTAGCTATAAACTGCGACTGAAGTAGGAGGAATTTAGAAACCTAATTGCTTGGGGTATAAATAATAATTTTGTCCTTTTTCTTATACACCTTGGAACACAATATCGACGACCTGATGTAACAATTGGAAGGTGTTTAATAAAGGATGTCTCTCAACATTGACAATCATGACGGCCTTATTTAGTACTCTTTCTTTGTATATACTATCAATGCTCTTTAGTTTTTTTCCCAACAACTTACTGGTTGTTGTTACCATCTTCCCCCGTAACCTCTTCTGTGCAAAATGTTGCAATACAAAATGTTGCAATACTTTCATTAAAAACAATATAAAACTTGGTCAACAATGTGTTGTCAACATTAAAAGAAAACAGTTTCTTTAAGAAGTGCATTCTCTATTTCCTTACACAGTCAGTCCATTCATCACACTTCAATTTATCGTCAAACATCACACACAAATAATTTGTTGCTAACTGAATTTGCTGCCCTTTAATTAATGTGGGATAAGTTTTGCTTTGTGTTCTCTCTCTAAAATCAAAAACCATTTTCTTAGTTTTAAGAATGTTTAGGTTTGAATTTTCAAAACAATCCAAAAAGAAGTTAAGAAAAGGACTGTATTCTTTCTCTGGGTGAACAGGTCAAAGTATATAAACAAAAGAACAAATGAAATATTAAACATAATTCAAAAAATGAATAAAGACATTTAAATAGAACAAAAATAATAGATAGATAGTATAAAATGAGATAACAAAACCAATCAGTGGTGGGCATTGATAAAAATAGTGATGATAGTAATAATGACAGTACAAATGATGACAACAAAAATTATAATAACAACTACTACTTATACAACAACAACAACGACTTCTACTACTACAACTATTGTTAATCTTGTTGTATACCACAGGAAATGGTCACAACACCAGAGCAACAGCCTCGTTCTGATGAACCAAATCCAGTGTTGTGCAACAAGTACAAGTACCGCAGGCTCTTACTACCTCCCTTTGCAGTCTCCCTCTTCGCAACTGCGTTAGGTTTGGGGATCTATTCCCACTTGCAAAAGACTGCAGATCCCTGGAAGTCAAAATGGAAATCAGGTACAAACACAACTTTATCCTGAGATGGGTTTAACTTATTTGGTAGAAGTGGTTGTGATTTGTGTGTGTGTTTCAGCGGCTCCTCTTTGCCTTTCTCCTGCCTGTATAAGAGCATCAGAGCATTTTTCTGTTGCCATGGATCCATTTTCTCGCCCCTGTGACTACTTCCTGTTTGCCTGTGGAGCAGGTGGATCTTCCACCAACAGGGATAGACAGAGGGTCAAGGGAGAAGTGAATAAACACAGTGAAGTGAGGACAAGAGGCCTGATAGAGATGAGAAGAGGGACTGATGGTTGGAGTAAAAGTGATGGGCAGCTGAAAACATTTCCAGACAGACAGACTGCTTTACTCACAGCCATTAAAGAAATATTAGGTAAGTAAAAAAATAAAAAATAAATAAATAAAAAATTATATATATATATATATGTGTGTGTGTGTGTGTGTGTGTGTGTGTGTGTGTGTGTGTGTGTGTGTGTGTGTGTGTGTGTGTGTGTGTGTGTGTGTGTGTGTGTGTGTGTGTGATTATATGTGTGATATGTGTTGATGTGTATATATACATACAGTTGATCAGGCATAATAGTTTAATAAATATTTTTCAAGACGCTTCTATACAGCTTGGGGTGGGCAAACTCGGTCCTGGAGGGTCCGTGTCCTGCATAGTTTAGCTTCAACTCTAATCAAACACACCTGCTTAAAGTTTGTTCTGTAGACTATCGAAAAAATATATAGCTTAAAGGGGCTAGTAATTTTGTCCCTAAAATGGTGTTTAAAAAATTGAAAACTTCTTTTATCCTAGCCGAATTAAAACAAATATGACTTTCTCCAAAAGAAAAAATATTATCAGACATACTGTGAAAATTTCCTTGCTCTAATATATATATATATATATATATATATATATATATATATATATATATATATATATATACATATATATACTGTATTCACAACAAAAGACTTTCAAATGAGACTTCCTGGTCTGTCAACTGATTTTAAAAGAATTTGGTAATTTTTCACCTGATCAAGTGTGAAGGCGAGCAAAACAAGTTTAAAGTCGGCATGTAATGCAAGTTAAGATCTTTCATTATTCATATCATGATGTACATCCAATTGAAACAATCCTGAAATTAGTTTAAAAATAAAGGGCGGTACATGATTATTTTGTAGGTTGGGTGTTGGTTCCAAAAAAGAGACAGTTTGAGGAATGGGCTAAAGTGAGACATGCACTGATATCCCTGCCTAAAAGGCATTCCATGGGACCAGAAGTAAAAAAAAAAATTCAAGGGGGAGGGAATATTATGTTATGTGATAGAAGATTATGGAGGCAAATACACTTTTACATTAATCCTTATGTTGATTTTTGCCTTTCCTTCGATCTTTCTTTTCCAAGACTTTTTAGTTCATTTTTAGGCTCAATTTTGCAAACATCTTTTCTTTTCTTCAGTCACACTTTACAATAGGGTATTGTTTAAAGTTAATTAATCTATATACTAACATGCACTAAGAACGACATTTTCATTATTTACTAATTCATTATTAAAATCCAAAATGATGTTTGTTTACATTAGTTAATACACTGTAGGTTCATAAGAACAAACAATGAACAACTTTATTTTCATTAACGTTAGCAAAGATGAATGAATACTGGAAAAAGTGTGTTGCTCTTTATTTGTTCATGTTAACTATCATTAACTAATAGAACCTTGTTGTATACTTGATTTTGCCACAAATGAACCACACAACAATTTAACAGTAATTTTATGGTACTGCATAAAACATAATTGACCTTCAATCTTTATGCTCCCCGTGTAATCAGAAGCTCCTGATGAGGCCGTTTCAATGGGTGCAGCTGAACAAAAAGCAAAGAATTTCTTCAAATCCTGCATGAATGCAGAATCCCGAGAAAAAATGGGATCAGAACCTTTCCTTACACTACTTCAGCAGGTACATATACATTTCAGGATGGAGGAAAGTGCAAAGCTTCTTTGTTGCATGTATTTGTTTAAATGTTTAATGTCTTTTGATCGACTCTCTCTTACTCTTTAGTTAGGTGGCTGGGCAGTATCAGGTGTTTGGAATCAAACTGATTTTAACAGCACCCTTGCCCTGCTGATGGGCCAGTACTCCACCTTTCCTTTCTTCAATGTGTATGTAGGGCCAGAACCTAGTGAAGAGCAATCTGCTTCCAATCGACACTACATACAGGTGATCACTAATAAAGGTAGAATATTAGCAGTTAGCAGCTTGATTTACAGTATTACAACCACTTGTTTACATGTTTTACAAGTTTACATGTTCATATTAAGTCAGTGTCAGACAGAATCTGCGGACATGTTTTGCTATTTCTGCTGAGAATTTTTTTTTTAAATCAGTGGATTTATGCGGAATTATTTTGGGAGTATCGTAACTAAGACTTTAATGTACGAAATAAAAAATAATTAATTTTTTTTTACTTTTATTTAATGTTTACAATGCAAATTCATCTACATTTACTTATTTGGTAAACAAAGCTAAACTTTCTATAATATATCTACTGAAAGACATTATAATATTACATTATATGAAAATATTACTTCACAAACTTTATTGTAAATAAATCAAATAAACACTTTCATATTACCTTAGAATTATAAGGTTCTATCTGACATTTTTGTCAAAATTGAGTTGTTGACATTTTCTTATTAAATGACAACTTATTTACATTATAGGATGCTTTAAGTTGTTTACATTTTAAGACTTTTTATTTAAAAACCATATGTTACACACAAACTGTTTGCTATATGGAATGCAAAATTCCAAGGTGACGATTGGTTCATTTTATTACTGATTATTAATAAAAAAAAATGAATAAATATAAATTTACACACATTTACACAAGTAAATAAATATACTCGAAGATGGGCTAAAAATCTGGGAATTCTACAGATTTCTGTGCGTACAGATTCTGTGTGGGCCTACTATACAGTATAAAAGTTAGCCCCGTACAGTAACTTATTGTGTGTGTTTTTATTAATAATATCATTATTAATACACACACACTTACTCTAGACATGGTTAGAAACATGTTTGTCAAAAAACAGGCACAAACATCAATTCTCAATAAAAAAAGTTTCAAATAATTATTAAAACAAAAGTAAAGTCCGCAACAGAGAATTCAATAGTATCCAATCTTTATTATTATTTACTTAAAAGAGTCCAAGAAAACTCACGTTTCTATTGCCCGTATGAATTCATAGTTGGAAACTAAGCTCTGAAAAATTCTTAGCAACGAATTCACAACCTGGGACCTGACAGTGGAGGTTTGCAAATCCCTGTGATGATTCCTGTGCATGTTAGCTATCTAACTGAGGAGATTGGAATTTAATGGTTTTTATGTGTATAAAATCAGCTTATTTGCCAAAATTACACATCACACTGTTAGCATATGTATATTATCGAAATAGGCAATATCCAATGAATAAATATACTTAAATGAGAGTTAGGTAAGAAGTTATATGAGGAGAGACTAACTAGCTAACATTGAAGCCTTCAAGTACACAGTTCAAGACAGCAGCAATGTAACTTAATACACCGACTTACTTTAGAAACCCCCTAAAAACATTTGAACACATTTTACTTACTTATTGTAGATTCCTATTTATGGCTTAAAACATACACTCTGCATCTGAACTGCTAAACAGAATGAAGCACTCAGAAGTAAACAAATCAATCACCTGGCTCCCTTAAAGGGCCAACATATACTGAAAACTTTTTACACAACTTTGTGTTTAGAATAAGACAGACATCCTGTGTATGTAAGTGTCAATTTCTAAATCATTGTTTTCTGCATTAAGATAAATGCACTATTCTATATACAGGACAATAAAAGCATCAGAGTAGATGGGACAGTAAGGGTTGAACGGTAAATAACCGTTTATTGTCACAGTTACTACCTGTACTGACTACATAAAGTAAATTACTGTAATTTATTCCTTTCACTACACAATTTCATACAAATCCTGCTCCTTTTACAGTAAAATACTTTTCCTTTTACTATAGCAAAACTCTTTTACAGTTATTTACTGCATAATCTACAGTAAGGGTTAACAGTGTAGATTCTATCACAAATGTTTGTGTAAATAGTATATAAATGTAACATTCATGACATACCAAAAGAAATTAGGTAAGATCTAACTAATAACTCTCAATAGTAATTACTTATAAAATTGAGGAACATTTACTCTACTTTCATCAGTTCTTCTACTACATTAATACTAATAATAATAAGTCAATAAAAATTGTTACATAATACTTTGTAAAGGGTTAGGTTAGTTAAAAATTGTCAGGCGCACACATGACAGTTGAACGTATTGCACACCAGACACGCACATTCGTATGCTATTTAAAATGAAACTAATCAGATGGCGCTCTGTGACGCGGTAGAAATATGAACAGTGTCATGAGTCGTGGCTGGTCAGCGGCGCCGGTGTGTGTACTCTGATAGAAACCGTTTAGAATTCTAAAAATGCATGGCGCTGTGTGTGTGAACCCCTTTAATGTTAGTTGAGCTCGATCATTAGAGACGATCATCAGCAGTCATTTTGATTCAATACATTGTTTAAGAACTGGAGCATGCCAGACACGTGCAAAATGGAAGCAACTTTATTATCTTGTGGTAACTCGTCCAATAAAATGAAACAATTCAGAAAAACAACAATCGTATGCTGCAGATTTACTCATTTCAGCCATGTACAAAACAACATACTTGAATAATCATAGATACAGATGCTTAACATAACTTACTCTCATTTGTGGATGAATTTTTTATATGTCGCTACCGAAAGTAGACTCAGTTAACAGTCAGCAGCCTATGGCGTCAACAACAGACACTGGGAAGCACATAAAGTTAAATGACAAATATTTAAGTAAGGTTATACCTTGCAACAAAACAAGCTTACATTTAATGTATAAAAAATATAACAAAAACTTACTGTTTAATTGGACAAATAGTGATGCCGCCTCTCCACTACATCCATGACAAGGAAAAATATGAATTCCACACTTGCCGCGTGGACTTTGACACATGCACATTTTCTAGAACCAAAGCTAATAATTATAGATAAGTTTTACTCATTTTTTAAACGTTTCTGTTATTGATGCTAAAAAATAGGCAGTGTAGATAGAATGTACAAAATTATTATGTATTTTACCTGGTAGCTCGCATAGCTAATTAAAATCTAACTGCATTTAATGGGTAGCCTTTAAAACCCTCCTGAGTATTTTTTTACATATTGTTTCCTGTTTTTTTTTAACAGCAGAAATTTTGAAATACATTTAAATGTAAAAAAAGGACTTGAAATGCAATTAGGTGGGTCACACTTTTGATGGTCTGTGTAGAATTTAAGTCACATTGCATCTACATGCCAGTTAATTGTCATTTGATTATAAGTAGACTGTTAGGGTTGGGGTTATGGTTAGTGTAAGTTGACACGTACTTGCAAAGTTTCTAAAGTCAGTTTAATCTCTGTTGAAAGAGCAATATTAACAGATATTAAACAGACAGTCTACTAATACTCAAATGGACCATCAAAATAAAGTATTACCATTATATGTAGCTGGATATCTATAAACAGCTTTCCTTAACTCTATACCAAAAGTGAAACCAACCTAATAATGAATTCAAAACTGTAGAGAATTCTTGTTTTAAATATATATTTTACTTTCACACATTTCAGAAAATGTTTTATTTATATATTCATGTATACAAATCAACAATATTCTGATTCATTTTTAATTTATCTGTGATTGTCTTACCCTCTAGTTGATTTGAAAATGTCAATGTTCATTCCATAGATTGATGAGCCTCATTTCCAATTTCCTATTGAATGGAACAGCAAGACACAAAAAGCCAAAGCAAATACTCGGGTAGGTAATTTCTCTTCACCAGATTTCACACATAACCAAGGAGGCAAGTTTTTCATATCATAATATTCATTTGTTGTCTCTGTTCCTCTTTCTCAGTATCTGCGTCCATTCTATTCAGCCTGTGGTCAGTATTTGGTTCTCTTAGGAGTTCCCTCTGATCGAACCACTCAACACTGCGGTCTCTTTGTATCTCTTTCCACGACTCTGGCTGTGGCCACATTCCCTCTGCCCTACCGTCTCAGTCAAAAATTACTGTACCGCAGAACTACCATCCAAGAGCTTCAGGTCTGTGCTTAATCTGATTTATTATTTGTCAGATATAAATAGGTCAGTGACAAATAAGAGTGTCCACTATAAGGAAAAGTGAGAATCTTTTAACGTAGTTTATTTACTATATGCAATTGCAGTTTCATTCCTTCATTCATTTTCCTTCAGCTTAGTTCCTTATTTATCAGGCATTGCCACAGTGCATAGAACTGCCAGTACCAATTTTATTTGTATTTTTTTTTTCAGTTTGCAATTTACAAATACTGCTATAATATAATGCTTTTATATATGGTTTTAGAAAAAAAACTTTATTCCTTCATTTTAATGACTTGCAATGCATCTTAATATTAAAAATAAAATTATTAAATATTAACATTTATATTATGAAAAATGTAAGTTGGCATTTCTGTGTGGAGTTTGCATGTTCTCGTAGGTTTTCAAATGCTGAGTTCAGACTGCAGGATTTTCAAAGTAGTCGTGTCACAGATGTTTTCTCACTGCATGTCTATCTGGGCTAGCATTTTGTCGCTGCTTTGTTTACAATGCAAGATGGATCGGCAACAGGAGCTTTCACATTGTATGACTTTACAATATGAATCGCCGACAACTTCGTCTAAATCACATTTCATGGCCAAAAACACGTAGTATATCTTTTGTTATTAACTACATAATGAGAAAGAAGCCTTTAATGGGGTATAAAATTTACATATTTGTTCACCTGGCTTTTAAGGGAATTAGCAATTTCTCCTCAACTTTCTTTTTTAGCTTTCTGTGTGAAACGTCAAACAGACACGAGTGCTCCTGTCAAACCTCCACTAGTTTTTCCTCCATTTCTTGGGTCCAAATAAACCGAAAATGAGCGCTTTTAACTTCTCCCTCAACCTCCCCCTGGCCTGCAGGTACACACACACAAATGAATGCTGCTCTCTCATTAACTGTAGGTGGTCGCCGATGTTATTTTCAGTCAGAACACATTTCAGACAGCATGATTTTGAATCGCAGACAGCTCCAGATATTTAGCTTGCCAAATATCTTACAGACATCGGCGACTCATCTGCGATTCTCACAGATCGCCTATTTGATAGTTCATACTGTGTGTTTGTTACTCAACGTGCACAAGCACCGATTTGCATTTGTTTGTGATTTCTTAAAACCTTTTGGCGAGTCAAAATCAGGGCTACAATCTTGCAGTCTGAACTCGGCATAAGGGTGCTAGTTTCCCCCACAGTCCAAAGACATGCGCTATAGGTGAAATGAATAAGCTAAATTGGCTGTAATGTATGAGTGTGAATGAAGATGTGTGGGTGTCTCCCAGTGGTGTTTTGCAGCCGGAGAGGCATCTGCTGCTTAAAACATGTGCTGGATAAGTTGCCGGTTCATTCCGTTGTTGCGACCCCTGATAAATAAAGGGACTGAGCCAAAAAGAAAATGAATTAATTAATTAATTATCAAAAATCTCAAATATTTTTAAAACGTACTATACATTTTTCCAATATGTATGAGTAAGCTGTTTTCTGAATAGTTCTCCCTGTAATTTTTACAATTTACATAATTTTTTGTTTTTAGATCTTAGATTTGGACACTCTCATGTCCTTGTCTTTTGTATTGAGCATGTGGTTTCCTGCAAGCTGTGTGCTCTCTTATCCATGTGTCTTTTGTTGTTTGTGTGTGCCGATGTTTAATCTCTCGCCACTGTAGTCTTGTTCAGTGTCAGTTTGGTGCCATCCCTGCAGGCATATTGACGTCATACCCCATTGTCAGGGGGATGTTGGATTTTGTTTGGAAATGAAAATCGGATTGATGTCAGAACCCAACGTCAGGCCAATGTCAATGCCCAATGTTCAACCTAAAATCAACCAAGTATCAACGTCTAATTATGTTACACCTTGATGTTGTGTTGATGTTGCCACTATGACATCTATCAGATGTTGGATTTTGGTCATTTCCAACACAACCTAAAATCAAACAAACATTAACGTAATTTGATGTCGTTATTGGACGTCAAAATAATGTTGTCTTTAGACACTGAATTTTGGCCACCTGACATCATGACCTAAATCTAATATTAACGTCTTATGATGTTGTGGGCCTGCTGGGATGAATCGGACATCCACACTGCATGTGTGAGTCCACAATTGGATGTTCACTCACTACGTACCAGGGTCTTGCGTTCAATCTAGCATCTTGTAATGTTGTTTATGTAGTACACAAACACACTCTTTCATGTTAAGTTTTGTGTGAACAAGTAGTCAATAAGGGTTCTCACTGGCCATATGTTCTGGTCCTGTTTGTTGTTTGGTGGTCTGTTTTGTTTCTCTGTGCTCTCCTGTCTATTGTCCAGCCCCATCCATTTTGTTATCACATACCACTTATATAAACAAACATATAAATAAACATGTAAAGCATATAAGAGTTTTTAACAAAATGCCTGGTGCAGTAAGGTGGAGTGTGTCCTACAGGGGGTTGCCAAGCCAGCTCACCTGGTCTTTAATCTAGTTTTGAACTGAGAGAGTGTGTCTGAGCCTCGGACATCATCAGGAAGGCTATTCCAGAGTTTAGGAGCCATAAATGAGAAGGCTCAACCGACTTTATTTAACTTTGCTATTCTAGGTACTACCAGAAGGCCTGAGTATTGAGATCTTAAAGAGCAGGTTGGATTGTAATGAGACAGGAGTTGGTTAGATAAACAGGAGCTAGATTATTTAAAGCTTTATGGGTATATTGATTTACAATTATTACAGAACTTAACAGGCAGCCAGTGTAAGGAGGATAAAACTGGGGCGATATGATCATATTTTCTGGATATGGTAAGAACCTTTGCAGCTGCATTTTGTACTAGCTGAAGTTTGTTAATAGAGGATGCTGGGCAGCCAGCTAACAGAACATTACAGTAATCCTAGAAGTCATAAAAGCATGGTCTAGCTTTTCTGCATCTGAGATAGCATAATTCGTGACTTAGCAATATTTCTCAGATGAAAGAAGGTGGTTTTTGTGACATGGGAGATATGATTTTTTTAAATGTTAAGTTAATATAACACTCAGATCTTTTACAGAGCTAACGCTAACTTTCTATCCCTCTAATTGCAGGTTGAATTGTAAGAGCTGGTGTGTACAGGATTTAGGCCCAATAAGTAATAATTCTGTTTTGTCAGAATTTAAGAGAAGGAAATTGTTGGTCATCCAATCTTTAACATCATTAATACATTCAGTTACCTTAGACCAGTGGTTACCAAACTTGTTCCTGGAGGGCCAGTGTCCTGCAGATTTTAGCTCCAACCCTAATCAAACGCACCTGAACAAGCTAATCAAGGTCTTACTAGGTATACTTGAAACATCCAGGCAGGTGTGTTGAGGCAAGCTGGAGATAAACCCTGCAGGGACACCGGCCCTTCAGGACCGAGATTGGTGACCCCTGCCTTAGACAGCTCAGATGTATCATCAGGTTTTGTTGAAATATATAACTGAGTATCATGTGTCTTCTAATAATGTCTTTCAGGGGTGGCATGTATATTATAAACAGCAAAGGGCCTAAAACTTATCCTTGAGGCACCCCATATTCTACTGCCCTGACTTATGAAGGCTGTACATTAATATTCACAAACTGGTAACATTCAGTTAGGTATGACTTAAACCATTGTAGAACCTGTCCCTGGACACCTGTAGAATTTAAGCTGTCTATGAGGATATTGTGGTCAATGGTGTCAAATGCAGCACTGATATGGTGTCAACAGCAGCACTGACATATGAATGAACAGTAGTTTTAAAATATTAGTGAAAACAGTAAAAGATGTGAAAAAATATATGATGGTAAATAATAAATATATAATAACTGAAATATATGTTTTCTTTGTCTCTCACAGACTCTGGCTCCAGCAGTTGATTGGCTTGCTTGCCTACAAGCCACATTTCAGCCACTTCTTATCAGCAAATCAGATATTGTTTTAGTCCACAATCTCCCATACATAATCCACATGTCCAAGACAATCCACCTATGGCAAGTTCAGCATGAGCTGATGGGCACGTAGGTCACTTTTTGTTACATTTTCTTTAGAATAAATGTAACGTCTTGATAAATGCCAGAAATCTTATTTTTTTATACCCCTGTCTGTATATTTACAGTGGTCCTCTCAACACATACATGATCTTTAGTCTTCTGCAGACACTCATACCTGCACTGGATTCAAGATTCTTCCAAATAATGAGAAACTATTCCATTGCAACAGGAGACACACAGGAGGTGGGTGGACAGTGATTATTTCTATTAATAAAAAGCATTTAAAATGAAGCAATGATTATTATATACATTTTTTTTCATGAAATTTTAGATGCCACACTGGTGGCGATGTGTTCAGCAGACAGAGCGAGGGTTTGACACCTTACTTAGTCATGCTATTAGAGAAAAACATGCACAAAAAGAGGTATCAGCTGAATATTTGAGGAAATAAAATGTTGATTATGAATGAACAATTTAATAGCAATGATTCCTTTTGACACCATATGCCTTTTTTCTCTCTATGGCAGGCTGAAGAGCTGATTCAAGATGTTTATTCATCCCTCAAGAAGAAACTAACAGATTTGAGCTGGAGGGATGAAAAAGAATCAGACTTTATTTTGAACAAGGTATATTGTCTATGATATACCAAACCACATGCAAAAAAAGGAAGAAAAACAAATCTATATTTTGTTTATACTTGCTTTTTTCAGATAAATTCACTTAATCCAAGAATCTCCACCAACACAAACAACCTCAGTTATACAGAACTCAACCATCTCTATGAAAAGGTAAACTCAACTGAATGAATGTGTAAATGTATAAATGAGAAAGTGGATGGATGGATGGATGGATGGATGGATGGGTGGATGGATTGATAGGTGGATGGATGGACACATGGATAGTAAGTGAGTGAGTGAGTGAGTGAGTGAGTGAGTGAGTGAGTGAGTGAGTGAGTGAGTGAGTGAGTGAGTGAGTGAGTGAGTGAATTGAGTGAGTTATGAGTGAGTGAGTTATGAGTGATTGAATGAACAATTGAGTGAATCAATAAATAAATGAATGCTTTTGAGTGAGAGAATGAATGAATGCATGTTAATGTAAATAAATGAGTGACTGAATAAATGAATGAGTATGTATGTATGAATGAATTAATGAATATGAGTGAATGAAAGTGAATGAATGAGTGTGAGTGAGTGAGTGAGTGAGTGAGTGAGTGAGTGAGTGAGTGAGTGAGAGAATTTATGAATTAATGAGTGAATCAATAAATTAATGAGTGAGTGAGTGAATGAATGAATGAGTGTCTGTCTGTCTGTCTGTGTGTGTGTGTGTGTGTGTGTGTGTGTGAGAGAGAGAGAGAGAGAGAGAGAGAGAGTGAGAGTGAATTAGTATGAGTGAGTGAATAAATTAATGAGTGAATTAATACATAAATTATTTTGAGTAAGAGGATGAATGAATGAATGAATGAATGAATGAATGAATGAATGAATGAATGAAGAGAGTGTGTGTGTGAGAGAGAGAGAAAGAAAGAAAGAAAGAAAGAAAGAAAGAAAGAAAGAAAGAAAGAAAGAAAGAAAGAAAGAAAGAAAGAAAGAAAGAAAGAAAGAAAGAAAGTGAAAGAGTGAATTAATAAGTGTGAATGAGAAAGAATTAATAAATTAATGAGAGAATAATTGAATTATTGAAGAAGCGTGTGTGAATGAATGAATGAATGAATGAATGAATGAATGAATGAATGAATGAATGAATGAATGAATGAATGAATTAGCAGTTTATTTAGTGGGATGAAGTAATAAAATATTCTTAATTCTCTCTGTGTTCCTCTTTATGCTAGGTCATTTTGAATGAAGAAGACTTTTTCTCTAACTACCTGCAGATACTGTTGCTGGAGCAGAAGAGCAGGGCTAGACTGCTCTCACTTGGCACACAGACTGAAGGGTTTGTTCTCTTAAATTGTTATTTCATGTTTATGTTAATAAAAAATAATTCTTATATTTTATTTTATTTAAAACTATATTTTATTCACATCACATTGGCACAGTAGGTAGCACGATCGCCTTACAGCAAGAATGTTGCTGGTTCGAGCCCTGGCTGGGTCAGTTGGCATTTCTGTGTGGAGTTTGCATGTTCTCCTCGTGTTCGCGGGGGCTTCCTCTGGGTGCTCCGGTTTTCACCACATGCGGTATAGGTGAATTAAATAAGCTAAATTGGCTGTAGAGTATGTTTCTAAATGCAAGAGTGGGTGGGTATGGGTGTTTCCCAATGTTGGGTTGTGTGCTGTGTAAAACATAGCTGGATGAGCCGAAAAGAAAATGAATGAATGAAAAAATATGATTATTTAATTCTAAAAATAGTAATCTGTTCCAAATGTTTACATTTTATATGTTGAGTACAGTAATATCATGCATAATTTTACTTATTTTGTACACATACATCTTCTGATGATGGTATGCTATGCTATGATGAGGGTGCTTTGGGTCTTTCAACATTATTCTCCCCTTTCCAAGTGACCCAGCTGGGGCTGATCAGACTTGTGTCCAGCTGGCTGGCTACTTTGAAATCCATGGCGGACCACTTTTTAGCCATAGCCACCTAGAAGCCCTTTCTGTTGCTTCAATTGTCCTGTGTATGGCTCCCGTCCTGTGCGCTTTCTCAATCCCAACTTTTTTGTTAGCTCTGGCCAAGGAATTTGCTACAAATCTCTTATAGCCCAATTCATTTGGGAAGCACCTTGCTCTCCATCCTGCTTGCTTGCAGTCACTGAGAAGTTCTTCATACTTCCTTTAAAAAAATTCTTCAAGCTAATTTTACCAAGGGATGGTCAGCTCCAAAAACACAATTTGATTTGTGGATTCTGATATGAGGACATCAGGTTGCAGCATGGTGACTACAGTGTGCCTCTGGGATTTCAGCTGTTTCTAGCAGAAGTCAGTAATCCTGCAAACCTCCTTTTTGCTAAGGAAGACTGCTCTATGGCCCAAACAAAGGTATTTCTCTGCTTTGGGGATCGAAATAATTTTGCCTTTTCAAAAAGCTTTAGCGATGGTCTTCAGGACTTGATTGTGTCTCCTACTGTCCAACTGACCTTCGCCAAATGCCTTTGGACAGCATCTTAAAATATGTTCCAGGGATCTTCCCAGAGCCGACAGGGCAAGCTGGTGACTCTGCTTTTCCCCATAGATGAAGGTTTGATGGGCTGGGTAGGACATTATACACCCAGGATGAGAAATTGAATGTGTTGTCATTTAGTTTTTCTTCCCTCTGCTCTGGATCTGATCATCAAAATGGATCCTAGCCCTGCTCTACCTTGAGTGAACACTCTCACCAACCTTCTATGACTTTGCCTTTACCTGACAGCCTCTTCTGCCTTTCTTTTTCTTCCAGTCCAAGCTTAGATCCCTGCTTTGTCAGCTTTCAGATCTTTTAAACTATGTATTGTAACACTTCTCTTGTTCTTTTTACATTGAATTCTTCCACTAAGGACATGTAGTTGCAATTTATTTTGATGTCAGGGCAATGTTGCTCAGTGAAATATGTGAAGCGTATACAGGCCCATTTCACTAGCTTCTCTGAGCCCATCAGAATAAACTTGCATCCCGGTGCTGTTTCTGTGGTAACTGTAGGATCATCTACGAAAGCCCTAATGATGGTTGTCGTTGGGCTGTATTTTTCATGGGTCTCTACACTGTGGTTCAGCATATTTATTGAGCATATTTATGGCTTGTGATAACAGTGTGATGAATGGAGCGCATCCTGTAATGATTCCAGTCTCAACCTTGTGCCAGCTTGATGTGGTTGCTCCTGAAGAGAATCTCAAATTTTTTGACTCTCAAATTGCTGTAATAATCATTAGGGACATTTGTCATTCTTCTTGGCATCTGGTACCTTGTTATTGAATACTTTTCTCTCTGGTCTCCTTTATGAGCTGTGTCACTACATTATTGTGCTCCATGCAGCCTGGAATACCTGCAACTCCTTTCTGTTTTGATCTATCAGTGTAGGTGTAGTGCATTGATCCTTATGACTGCGTATATGGGATCTGTATTGTTATGTGTAGCTCCTCCCCCTCTACCTCGCTCTCACTCTGTCACACAGTCATTCAGTATGTATGTGCGTCGATACTAAGTGAAGCTGCTGTGTGTCTTCTGTGCCCGATGTTATTAAAAACTGATTAGTTTGAACCCTGCTTCTCTATCAGTTTAATGCAAGTTCTCCGAGTCAACAGTAGGTGTTCTTCTCCAAGTAGGTGCATAATCGGTTGGAGACTGCGCTGAAAATCTTTGCTTCTGCGCTCTACAGTGAGATTATACCTGATCTGTGTGAATTAAGATTTCCTCCTTTTGGGATCTATACCTCTTCCTCCCCTGCTCTGGGATTCATCCACTTCTTTAAAAAACTCTTAGTATCTTTCACAAACAAAACTGGAGTTTGGGGCAATTCTTGTACAGTTTGTATAAGATGTTACTTGGTCAAGGTGCAGAGTCTGCTTCTGCCTTAAAAACCTCTCTAACTTTTTTGAACTGCATCTCTGAAAAATCTCTAGTTTGGGAGTATCTATTAAGATGCCACACTGTCCTCTTTCTCTGAGTTGCTGTATGTGCTACTTAGATGTTGATCCATTCTTCTTATGGACAGACCAGCTTCCCACTGTGCTTCTGCCTCAGCAAGTCCTTAAACTCTGTAAACTTAAATAAATTGGCTATAAAGTCAACGTCACCTCTGGCTCTACCACAACGGGGACCCAGAACTTTTTCTGCAGCATACACATCAGCTGAGCTAAGTCTTTATGCTCAGTTTTTTTCTATCTCTTTTAATAGGGACTTCAGCACATCTCTTCTCATCTCTTGCCTAATGTTATAAATTCTTTCTGCACTGTGAATCTTGGAGTAAGGGGTTCTCTTATTTTTTCTTTCATCCTCCAAACCGTTCTTCTCTTTTACTGACAATGATGGTAGTCACAGCTTGCAGCTTTTTATTAGCCTCTTCCTCATGCCTCATTCCCACTAGCAACGACTTAGTAATGTAGCTGCCTGTCACTCGGGGTGGCGATCTGCTGTAAACGTGGGTCTGTGTAGGTCTACAGCACGGAGAATACAACCAGCCTTTGAGCAAGCTGAGAGAAGATCGCAAGAGCACTATTGCTCTTGATATACATCATTTGACCCGCCCACCTGGTCAACCATGGTTGCTGTCGCTCACGTAAACGAAGGTCGCTGGAAATCGCACACTTTCTGTTTAAATGAATGCTAGTCGCTTTGCCCCTGCAAGTCGCTCGTAGTGTGAATGAGGCTTTAACCGTTGCCTCTAAATTTTTGTTAAAATTCTCACTTTTAAAAAGTCACTTAAAACTCTTAAAAGGTCACTTTGGAATAAATGTAAATGTTCTCCACTTTCCAAACACTTTATTCTTTGATCTTTAAGCCGTGGCTCTTTGTGTAGAATTTTCCACATATGCACTGGTTCTTCATCGTCATTTCTCATTCTCGGGTCTGAAACAGGTTCGGATTGGCTAATAGGGAGGACTGGCAGAATTCCTGGTGGGCCGGTCAGTTTTTTGGCTGCGAGGGCCAGTGTCCCTAGCTGCTTGCTTGTACTCTCAGCAGTTGCACTTTTTTTATTTATTTATTTGACCATAGCCTCACTCTTTTTATTCATTATTTTGCCGCAGCTCTGCTCTTTTTATTTATTTTCTCGCAGCCCCGTGAGTAAAATGAAGCCTGTGGGTTGATTATGTAACTATCATTTCACCCCAAACAGCAACACCTAAGTGAATATAAGAATTTGAATAATTAATATTAATGAATATTGCCGCTGACCCAAGTTTAAACCTTACCAGAGTAATAATTTTTTTGTTTTTTTTTGTTTTCATTTTTAGTGTTAAGACATATAAAACTGTTTGGGTTACTTATATAGGTGTACAATTTTATTTCTATGTTTTGTGTGACTACTGTTACAAGGGACTGAATATATATTTAGTCTTTTGCACAAAATATATATTCAGATGTTGCAGGAAAGGACATTGTGATGTTTTAAAGAATTGTTGGTGTTGGAGAAGTGTAGAATTTAGCTACCCTTTAATGTTCTCATATTTATGAAAAACATTTGAAGATCTAAAGCAGCTGTTTCTTTTAAAAAGACGTGATAGTGTCATTAGAAACTGAATTGGAAATGACGTTTCTGGAAACCCCAGGGTTGAAAAGGAGTCCTACTCCGGCCCTAGTCTGAAACCATTGAATTTGTCCCCCCCCCACCACCCCAAAAATGTACCTGTACTACATGTCTTTACACTTGTGGGAGAAATCTGGAGGAAACCCATGCCAACAAGGGGAGAACAGCGTGCAAACTCCACACAGTAAAGCCATCTGACCAAGCCGAGGCACAAACCAGCAACCTTCTTGTTGTGAGGCCACAATACTCACTGCGCCACCGCGTCGCCCCTCTTCATTTCGTCTTTTATTTTTTTCAAATTGTTTGTTTATGGTGGTGGTGGTAGTGGGTAAAACTGTTCTTTATATAATAATATGAGCTAAAATTGGTAATTTATTAATAATTAATGGTTTAATGTTTAAAAATGTAATAATTAATAAACCCGTTGCCCCAGAGAAGTCTGGCAAATGACATATATATTCCTGTATGGCCATATATAGGATCTCCAAATGTGTTGAATGGATATAGATGGATAATGTAGTTTTTTAATGTAGTTTTAGTTTAGAAGCATTTTTGAAAAATGAATGGACACTCACTGAAATCAATCAAAATCAACATGCATTTTGAAAATTTATTTTCATATACATTTTTTCCATTTGTTTGGTCAAACATTTTAAATTTCTGTGTGTATGTGTGTGTGCATGTGTGTTTTAGTTTGTCTATGACTCCATTCATCTCTGGTAATGACATCATCGTCCCTGTTGGAATGTTTGTGTCACCATTCTTCCATTCCTCATATCCCAGGTATCTTATGAAAACATAAACAAGAATATCAAATTAATGATAGTATTATAATGTATCCTAATTCACTTTGCACCACTGTTTGACAATGATGAACCAAATCAATGATGAAATCTGAATATTTAGAATGTTTTGAAACCACTCTTCTGATTTGTATATGCTGAAGATCTAAGATGCTTAATGTGTAAAATTAATGTTAATATTATAATATTTCTAGAGCCCTCAATTATGGGACACTGGGATCACTAATGGCTAAAGATCTTCTCCACCTTCTGCTCCCTGATAGTAAGCTAGTTTTGATTTTAATATGAATTTGAATGTGTGATTTGTGCAAACATGAGTCCTCATATGTGTCTCATCACTAGTCTACACAAAGGCAAAGAATCCAGAGACTGAGAGTCTGTGTGTGTGGTCTCATTATCTGAGTGTGACTAAGGGTCCAGGATGGGGTGACGCATTCTATCTTCCATCATCTAAACAGCAGGAGGTTTGGGTGCAGTACTCAGCTCTACAGGTGGCACTCGATGTAAGTTCACTTTTTCTAGTCTAATTAAATGTTTGTATTTGTTTTTTTTTTTTACATTTTTCTCTAAATCCAATGTTTATTATTTATTTTCATATAATCACACTTAATATATTTGTTTAATAATGCTTAATATCATTTGTATTATTTTATTAAGATGTCATATTTATAATTTATTTTATAAACAGCTGGTTCATTCCGCTGTAAATCAGGGACTAAGTTGAAGGAAAATGAATGAGTAAAAAATTTTATTACAAACTTAAATTATTATTATTATTATTATTATTATTATAATTATTATTATTATGTTATATTTATTATTTATTTTTATGCAACTATTTTAGTATTGTAAATAAATGTTTTTATTTATTCAGTCATATTAGTTTGGTTTTACTTGAATGAGTTTTTTTCTGCTAATATTTATTTATTTATTTATTTATTTATACCACTTATTTCATAATTGTTCCATCTAGGCTTATAAAATGAGTTTCAAAAGGTATCTAGCAGATTCATCTCTACCAGGCTTCTCTTATGTTCACTTGTTCCTCAGCTCCTTCACTAAGGTACAGTTAACCTGTCATTAAAGAGAAATACACAATCACTCAAATACATGAACTAATCAAACATTCAAATCAAATGTTACAGGTAACGTGTGACACAGACGCATACCGTGAGTTCATGCCACTTGAACCATCATTTTTGGTGACAGTCCTGTGCTCAAACTCAGGCCTCTGCCCAAAACCACTGACCTGCATGAATAAACCTCAGAGTTTTCCTGCTGAAATGTGTCAAAGCTGAACCTGTTTTTGGACTATTGAACTTTTGAAGCTGCTCGATGGAGGGAACAAAGCAGAAAGTCATTCCACAGATTATAAGCCTTTTTATATTCACTTGATAAGTAATGGGTTTATGTCACATAACCACTTTTTTCTTCATGTGACCAAAGACTAGAAATATACAAAGAAGGATCACTTGCATTGCTATGCCTGACAAAACTCTGGCAGCTTACTTGTTGCAGTGACACTGGAAGGCAACTCACAAATCTAATTCTGGAGACATCATGACTTGATCATATTTAACAAAATAGAGAGTGCACTCATTTATGATATCATTTATTCATAAATGTATTTATTCTTTAAACACAAAAGAATATATTTTGAGGAAAGCTGAAAACCTGTAACCTCCATAGTAGGAAAAACAAATAATATGGAAGTCAATGGTTACTGGTTCCCAGCTTTCTTTAAAATATCTTCTTCTGTGCTCAACAGAATATAAGTTAATGTCAAACTGGTTTTGAACAAATGAAGGGTGAGGAAATGATAACAGAAACTTTAGTTTTGGGTGAACTATCCCTTTAACTGTCAGGAATGGAACACATAGGTTTGTGGAAAATCAAAAGCAGTAAAGGATACATCTCCCAGCTTTCTCAGTAGACAGGAAGTGAAGGTATAGGATTTAGACATAATACTTTCCTGGAATGCATCCTTCAATATCCTAGCTTTCAAACACAGCCTAAGAATGGGGAAAAGGTCTAAGTTCAACACGGCCATCCTAAAGAAATATGTCCCGCCTTGCAGTCAAATTAGACCATCATCAATCTTTACTGAGTGGTGGTTCTTTGAAGGAGAGGCTTGTTACTGATTTCGTTGTTCCTTAGAACAATTCCTGTTGCTTAAACTAGTGTGTGTCTGACCTGCTTTTGACAGGAAAAATATTAGGTCACATTTGAAACACATCCTATCACACATCGTCGTCTGGTTTTTACTCTAGGAGTATCCTCGATAGTTGGAGGTGTTAAATGTAATCAGAGCTTAAAGGAATAATTCACACAATAATTCATTGTTTACCAGTGATGAAAATAGTACTGAAAAATCCCACTCAAGTAAAAGTTCCATTACTTGTCTAAAAATGTAGTGCACGCAGAGTAAAATTATCTGTTGTAAATATTACTCAAAGTATGAGTAAAAAGTAGCCCTTTCAAAAGTGATTGTGAGATTGAGAGTTGATTAGTGAGTGTTACGCTGTTAAAAGCTGATGCGTATACATGTAATTTGTGCATGTGTAAACGTAACATTCTGTAGTGCATCTAGTTATTGCCCAGCAGGCACACAACGTCAGAAGACGTTATTATTAGGTTAGATTTAGGTTGTGATGTCAGATTACCAAAATTTAATGGCTAGCCAGTGTCTAAGGACAACAATATTTTGATGTCCAATACTGAAGACATTGATATTTGGTCAATTTTGGGTGGTTAGAAAGTGACCAAAGTCCAACGTCGAGCCACCATCTTAAACCAACGTCATATTGATGTCAAATGCTGATGTTTATTCATCAGGTATGGTAACCAAAATCCAACATGTGATAGACGTCATAGTGGTAATGTCCACAAAACGTCAAGCTGTTAGACAGTGATATTTGATTGGTTGTAGGTTGGACATTGACATTGGCCGTTAACCCGATTTTCATTTCCAAACAAAATGCAACATCCCCTTGATGTTTGGGTACAATGTCAATCTGACATCATGTTGATGTCTTGTGCCTGCTGGGTGTTTAAGGCCATTTTGGTCATCATACCATGTTGAGGTAGTTCATTATGATGCGATTTACCTTCTATATGCGATTTGATTGACAGGAAACACAGGACAGATTTTTCTAATCCCCATAGACAAGAAGAAAGTATAGTGACTACAGGTTGAAAGAAAGTAGTGGAGTAAAAGTACAGATACTGCAGTAAAAATGTACAACCAAAGTATTGGGACAAGTAAACAAAAACATGATCCCACTAGGATTAACTGCTCGAGTCATTGCAAAGGTGAGTGAGAGGGAGGTGTTTTGTTTTTGTATGTCATGACAATAACATTTCACTTGGTATTTTAGTTTGACATTAGTAGGTACATCTGTGGCCAAAGTTCCTTTGAGTTCACTGCATTTTGCTCGTTCAAATTACTTCCTCATTGTTTTTCATACAGTACAGTAATATTTAATATTGATGCAGAAAGACATGTTTTGAGTTTTTGGAATTTTTTTCTGGTCTCCTGAAAGTCATTTGTTAATTCTTATAAGATGACTTTTAATTTTCAAGGCATGATTTCTGAGAAAAATACATTCACTGATTAAATGTAAATGATGGAAGTAATTCCCATAAATCTTGTAAAGCATCGTGGGGCATAGAGAAAAAGGTGGATACATATTATTAAACAGTATTTTAACATTTGAAAATGTACAATGGACAATTTAATAAACAGTTAAATGCTACTTGGTGGATTTGATCTCTCACAACACTTTTTATGATTTTATAGGGGACATGCTGTATAGAGGACGAGAGTATATATGGGTTCTACATTTTGCATAGCTTGCAATTATTTACAAAGTTACACAGGTTTTGCTAGTGGGGACTACGGCTTCACTTTAAAACCACAGCCAAACTAATTATTAAATGGGATATTTTCATTTACCAATGAGATCATTTCACTACAGTAAAATAGATTATAGTTGTAATTAATTGATGCATAATACAAACATTTTTTTCTTTTGTGTAAAACTGAGATCCCACAACATCTAAAAACAATCCCAACACTGAGACTTTTTTAAAAATCACATGCTCATCATCTGATGGTCAACTATCGCTGTAGCCACTGAGATAGTAACCTGCTTTTCTCTATTTTACATGTTTGGTGATTGTTTGTACTGTGTTGATGGATGAGATGTCTGTCTGTTTTTATGTTTTGCAGAGCAGGAACCTGCTGAAAAACAGCATTTATGCTGAGTCAGGCCCAATTATCTTTTAATCTTTTCCTGTTTAAAATAAATAAATAAATAAATAAATAAATAAATAAATAATATTGTTTAATAAATACTTTAATTGTGTGAAGTAGTCATAGAAAATCAGAAAACAATTGTGTATTACAAATTTAAAATAGAGTGTGTTATAGCTTTTTTAAGCTTCAACAAAGAACATAGAGCTACAATTTTACAAATATTTACATTTTTTAAATGATATGTTTTGTGAATGAAAAGTTGTCTTGACATATGTCAAACTTTTCTATAAACCAGGATTGGGTTTACTGTATTTAAATTCACTATAAATTTGTATTTGTAATATAATTTTCATCACATTTTTTAGGGGACATTCATAAAACCAGCTGAGTTAACTTTTTTATTTTTATTTTTATTAATAAGCTTTGAAATGTTACATAAATTATTATTAAAGTCAGATATAAACTATCCGGAACATTACAGATTTGCAAAAACACAGCTAGAAATAATAATAATAATAATAATAATAATAATAATAATAATAATAATAATAATAATATATATATATATATATATATATATATATATATATATATATATATATATATATATATATATATAAAGGTGGAGAAAAAGTAACACAACAACATAAAATAGAGTATTACATGGTACTACGAGAAAAATAAATAAATAAATAATTTAGGACACTATCATCAACTACAGTGGAGGATCGGTACCAGAAAAATGATTCCTTCATGACATCTAACATCAAGTCATTATTTTTGCTTTTAATTTGCATTAGAGACTTTCTCAAAGTTTCCATTTCTAATAAAAATATGTCGCATTTTGGTATAAAATATTTACCTTGTAAGATGTAAAAAAAACATACTCAAATGTTTTTTCGTTTTGTCTCTGTGTGTGTGTGTGTGTGTGTGTGTGTGTGTGTGTGTGTGTGTGTGTGTGTGTGTGTGTGTGTGTGTGTGTGTGTGTGTGTGTGTGTGTGTGTGTGTGTGTGTGTGTGTGTGTGTGTGTGTGAGTGTGTGTGTGCGTGCGTGCGAAGTCTGTGAAGGGAGTCTGTAATTAACATTTCTTTGCCCAAATAACACATCACTTACATTATTCCAAAATTTAATAGAGACATCACAGTTATAGAAAATATTAGATTAGAGGTCTCCCCTGTGTAAATTACGAAATGTGCAAGTGTTATTAATATCTATGAATTTAGATAAAGTTACTTTACAAGGATACATTTTGTGACGTATTAATAGAAAGGAAAGACCTCCAAGTTGGTAAAAAATGAATATGGAATTAACTTATTTTTTATTTATTATTTTTTTAATAAACTGGTACACAAGTACATACAATTACAAAGTGATAAGAACAATAAGAAGTAGAAAGAGAAAAAAGAGAACAAAATAAAGAAAAGGGAAGTACGAAATAAAAAAAAAACACAGAAAGCATTAAAGACTAACTTACTGGAAGCATAATATTTTCATGAGTTTCTATTAACTTACAAATTTTGTTGTTGTTCGATAAATGAATAGCTTTAAGCAAGGAATCATCTTCATTTTTATGGGACTAGAATAATTTCATTCCATTTTCTTGTTGGCTTAGTCCCTTTATTAATCCGGGGTCGCCACAGCGGAATGAACCGCTAACTTATCCAACAACTTTTTATGCAGCGGATGCCCTTCCAGCCGCAACCCATCTTTGGGAAACATCCACACACACACATTCACACACTACGGACAATTTAGCCTACCCAATTCACCTGTATAGCATGTCTTTGGACTGTGGGGGAAACCGGAGCACCCGGAGGGTCATGCAGATTTCCGAATTTTTCTGACAGAAAGAACAAGCAATTGCAATATCAGTAAACTTTAAAATAAATGCATTGACCGGGTATATTTTGTGCAGAATTTTAAAATGGATTTCCTTTGTTTTGTTTGGGATTATATTTTTTGGGAGAAGTCATGCTCTTTTCCAATCAATATCTTCTATTTGCGCTGACCAATATGATTTCACTCTTGGAGCAAATCATTTTTTTTTTTTTTTTTGGAGATTTCGAAGAATAAGTTTGTTGTTGCATTTTTTTTATCATATATACTAATACTTTCTAAGGAGGGTTTTATAATTATTTTATTTATATATGAAATATTACTTTTTGTTAGATGTATTCATTCTTTTGGGATAGCATTTACAATAATGTTAAATTTATTAAAGGGTAAAGGAAATTCATGAATTTTCATAAATTGTTCATAAGTTAACAAGTTCACCAAGTCATCATAGGAAAGGACTGCAACTGGAATATAAAGAAAAACAATTGGCGTACATCATCAGCGGCGGCCACTCTGATCAAAACTGTTGCTGTGACGCACATTTAAAGCGTCATAGTTCTATGTCAACATGGCTGCACGCGCTGGAGACAAGCGTGGTCTGGAACATTTAGATGAATATGAACCAAAACAAGCTAAACAGCAAAGAAGTTTGCACGATCAGATGACTGAAAAGCGTCTTGTCGTTGTTTTAGAAGGAGCGACGCTTGAAACCGTAAAGGTAAAAGACAAAGTGGCTCCGTAGATTTGAAACCCCTTTTTTGGATGATGTGCTGTTCACTTGAGCATTATTACTACTATTTATCATCAGCTTGCATCTATAAGTTGAATGTAAACGTATCTTTATGCAGGTTGGAAAGACATTTGAGTTGCTGAACTGTGATCAGCACAAGAGTATGATAATAAAGAGTGGCAGAGACCCAGGGAAGATTCGTCCTGATATCACACATCAGGTAAAACACATTAACCCTCATAATGCATGCGATTCGTTTTTACACGGATACAAAATAGTTTTAGATGCTTTATTTTAGAGTTATCTAAACGAAAATGTATTGCTATTGCAAGCGAAACAACATCACATTACACTTTTGTGTTCTGGTCCATATCAAATACTTTTAAGTATGTTTTATTTAGTTAGCCTCTTTCATGACAGACACTTTTGGGTTGTTTTGTTTGACAAGTAAGACTATAGATACCATTACTGAAAAAACCTTAGTGTGAAAATAATGCAAATAAGTATAATTGTTTTACAAAGTGGTTTAGTAATGTTTGTGTTAGAAGATGAATACTTAGGCTTTAAAAACGTTTTTCATAAAGAGAGGTGATTTTAGCAATAACTGGCTTGTGTAATTGCAATTTTTGACACCTAGGAAATAAAATATTGCTTTTATGTATAAAAAGCACTTTGCCTTATTTTTCTTCCTCATTAAACAAGAAGTGTTAAGTGTTTTCATGTTGGAGAGCAGAACATAAACAATGCCATTAAAACATGCATATTTTGCAGATTACTTTTGCTCAATATGATCAATTATTATCATGTTTTGGCATGTATAAGAATATAAGCTTCTCAAAATGATCTATTATTATCGTGTTTTTGCATGTATAAGGAAATTAAGTTTATAATATTTCGTCAACAATTAAATATAACATTTTATTACACATTTAACAATGTTTAAAGCTAAATTAAGCTGAAAAGCCTTTAAATTCAATTAGTCAAAAATTACACTTTTTACTTACTAAGCAGATAGATAGATAGATAGATATATATATAGATAGATAGATATAATTTAACAGCTTGAACATGTTTTTTCATAATTTACACAGCATTATTTTGACATTAGAGTATCTCTGTATTTTCCACACTTAAGGGTAATTGACAAATCGTGACTGTTTGGCATTGCATTGAGTTTTTCTTAATTAATAAATGTTAGGGATCAAAATAATATGGTATTGGTAAAAAAATTCCAAGTTATTAATGTTTAAAAGCTTATACTCCACCTTGTGCACATTCTATGACAGTTCAGAGAGCATTATACTGTTGAAAAGCAAGCCATCTTGTGAAGATGCAGTTTACCTAATTCTTTAAATGATAATTTGGTCAACTTCTGTATATTTGCTATCCACAGTGTCTGTTGATGTTATTGGACAGTCCTTTGAATAGAGCAGGCCTGCTCCAAGTGTACATTCACACAGAGAAGAACGTTTTGATCGAGATCAACCCACAAACAAGAATTCCTCGTACCTTTGCCAGATTTTGTGGACTCATGGGTAAATTAGTAAATTCTCATAATTACAATGCAAAAATGTTACAGTTTCTTAGCTAGTTTCTGTTTTTATAAGATTTCTGTTCTTTATCTTCCTGTAGTCCAGCTCCTGCACAAGTTGAGTGTGAGAGCAGCAGACGGCCCTCAGCGTTTGTTAAGACTCATTAAGAATCCAGTGTCAGACCACCTGCCACCTGGATGCCCTCGATTTTCTACATCATTCAAAGCTGGGGATGCTGTATGTCCTAGAACAATTGTGCCAGATGATGGACCTGCCGCCATTGTCATTGGAGCATTTGCACATGGAGCAGTAAGTCTAGCTTCCCTTTCCTCAACCTTTTTTTGCACAGTTCACACTGTCTGAAATGTTCATCTGACACACACTAGCTTTCTGTACTAAGAATAGTAAGCGTAAAAAGCCTGTTTTTGCTTGTTGTGGTCAAACAATTTAAGTAATCAATGTGAAAACAATTTTTTAAAAAAGGCTTCAATTTTATTTTGTCATGCAGATAAGAATAAGACATTATTCTAGGAAACGGTGGTAGGAAATGGTAATTTCCAGACATTTATTTTTGCCATTATCTGTAAGTATCCAGTAAGATTCTAGTTTGTTTAATAGCACCCAGTGTTACACAGAATGATCTGACCTCTCCCTCATCCAGTCTGTCTAGAATTGTATGAAGAAATAAAACAAGCAGAGTAAGACTTTTTTATCCAAGATGCTTCAAGAAACCTATATACTCAGAAAAACTATACACAAGTGTACCTAAGACAAACGCATGTTTGTATGCAAACGGTAGTCACTGTTTATTTAATAGAGGTTGATTCATAACAGCTATTTTTTCATTTACATATTTTTGTTTTACAGCATTTTTACACAAGTGCCTTAAGCATTTATAGATTGTTCATCTAAAATGTTTTGTCAAAAAAATAAAAAATAATGGCTATTTGTTTTTCCTATGGAACAACTATATTATTTTGTGTTTGATAGACAAAAGGAACTGATAAAGGTTTTGAACCACTTAGTAAGTAAATAGTGAGTAAATTTTCATTTTTGGGGTAAACAATCCCTTTAACAGTGCTTTGCAAGTATGTTTCTTGAATCATCTTTGAGATGTTGTCTTTTGATATTAGTCTGCGTCAGTTTGTTCTGATGCTGACAGACTGGATGATGGTGAGATCAGATTTGCTGTGATCATCAGACAATCAAAAATCTCACTGAATTATTACAATTAATGTCAAAATGAATGTCGAAAAATGTAAACCTAAAAATTCTACTGGCACACTACAGCAAGTTACCTTTTACATATTGCCTGCTGATAAAAATGGAGTTCTAAATGGTTTTGCCAACCACTGTATCCTTTTAAAGCATAAAAAAATTTCATGAAGCTACAAATCGCTATTGTTTTCCAAGTAAATAAATTCTCTATTCTCTCTGTCCTGTCATAGGTAAATGTCGACTACACAGAGAAGACCGTTTCTATCAGTAACTATCCTCTGTCTGCAGCTTTGGCCTGTGCCAAAATATGTTCAGCATTTGAAGAGGTCTGGGGTGTGTTATGACAAAGCCAAACAGATATGCACTGCCATATTTCTTGCATGATTGAAAAATAGATATTTGGACTGTGTTCTGTAGGTTCATTTGGTCCATTCATTAAAGCACAAATTGTGTCAAATTATGCCATACAAAGATAATCCACATAGAAGCAAGCTATTATAGAGCAAACAGCAAAAAGTGTTAAGAATTGAAAACTAAGTTTCTAACTTTTTGTATAGGTTTATACATTTGATATTTAACTAAGATTTGCCTTTAAGAATCACTTTGCCTTTTTTCTCCTTGCAATAAACAACAACAAACAAAAACTTGTCTTATTCATCTTTATAATGCAAATGTAATACAAGTATGATAATTGTTTGCCTACTGTAGATGCTTTTATCTGAAGTAGTGTAAAAGTGCATGGTCATTTCCATCAAAATCACCAATCAAAACAATTATCTCTGAATTGCTTTACTTGTTGAACTTGTTTAAGCCTGTATTGATTAAGTTGTATTTACAATTCTTACACTGCATCCAAAATGGCTGACATACAAAAAAGCACATTTTATGGGAAAAAGAGGTATGTAAAATTAAGCTATTTAAATGTTTTGTTACTATTATTATTAAATATATAAATTGTTTATTAAAGTGTCAGGAACAATACATTTAGCTTTTAAAGATGTTAACTTGTTTGTGTTTCAAAATATCATCCTTTTTTAAATGTCCACTATAGTGGACACCAGGACCATCTTAATGTAATTAATGACTGCATGCTGTAGGAGGCTGAACTGAAGCAGAGAGGATTCTTTATAAAATAGTTGAGGGAGACTCTGATTTAGAGTGACAATTAGAGAATGACAACCTGTTTTAAATCGCTTTTATGTTAAATTTGTTTAGGATTAACATATTTTTTTTTTTAGTAGGGCTCTTCAGACTAAACAGTTTTAGAAATTTCAACACAAAAGGGGGAAAATGGCTTTTGTTTTTGTCACATTAATATTGGATTAACATCCCTTTACAGCCATTTCCAGTACAGTTTTGTTTTTTTGAGGGGTGGTCGTTTCTAACTAAAATGGTCCTAGGGTCCACTATACTGTAAAATAAAAAATAAAAACAAAATGTAAAAACTAAATTGTAGAATTTCTTTTTTACCCAGAGGATGTAGGAAATCACAAAAAAAAAAAAAATCTGAGTCGAAGGAGGATAAATATGTATGTATGTATGTTTGTGTGTGTGCGTGTGTGTATATATATATATATATATATATATATATATATATATATATATATATATATATATATATATATATTTATAAATCACCAGTGTATGAGTGTTCTGATTTGTGAACTCACAGATTTACTATTACTTTTATATTACCCATTCTCACTTCAAAAAGTCTCTCATCCTGTTATATTAAGCTTTATCTGTTATTGTTTTGCTTGATGTTTTTTTCTGTTTCTTTTACAATATCCATTCCAACCATAAAGACATGTTTTGGCGCTTAGTGCATGGTAAAACTATGGGTAAAACAGACAAAATAAGACAGACGTTCATTCATGTCAGCAAAGGACAAAACTTTAACCAAAAAAGCTTATATTTACATTATACAGAATGTACATTAGTAAAAGTATTTCAGGGGCTCTCGTCCTCTTCTTGCACAGACTCCGGTAAAAGAGAGTTGCTGGCGTTCATCGTCTCGTTTTCCAGAAGCGTCTCGTCCATTTCATCTGCTGATCCACCGCTCTTCTCTGGGTCCTCACAGTCTTTAGATTCGTCAAGGACAGATTTGTCCGTCTCTATGGGGTCCAGGTAGTGACAAACGCTCTTCCGACCGAACGACTCTTCTTCGTTGAGAGCCAGCACCTCTATGCGGTTGGAGACGGGCTCGTCTTCTTTCCTCTCTGACAGAAACGTTCGCTGCAGCATCAGTTTCTTCATTGTGTGACATTTGTATTTAAGTGCTGCATTAGAAGATGACCTGTCCTCCTCAAAGATCACGCATGTCCCGATAGCGTCCTCGTACTCACCGGTGAACAGATACCGGCCGACTTGCAGCATGGGCTGCTCGCTGTCGATGTCCACTATCTTGCAGGTGCCTTGCCGATTGGAGATTAAGTCAGAGTTGATCATTCCTGACAGTTCAGCCACAACCATCTGCTCTTCCTCTTCCCACTCGTCTTCCATGGCTAAAAAGACTATTTGTTTATCTATACGATGAGACGAAGATGCAACTCGTGTATTGAAACGCTTAACATCTAAGTTAGCGACGAATTGTTTCGCATAATGTACGCGACGGAAGTAGTTAACTGGGGGGTCTGATTCGTTTACGAGAATCGGTTGCTTTGAACAGTTTTTAACCGGTTTAATGATTCAACACACGGTTTGTTAAAATTTTTCTTTTTATTTTAAATTAATCGATGTAACTTATTATGCCTGTTTGCTGCAACCAATATTCAGTTTGACCAGTATTTTGCTAAGACTATAGTCAATTAATAAGCTAAATAAACTTTTATATCTGAGTGTTTTGTATTAAAATTTTCATTTGATGCTAAAATTTTGTTGCCTTTTACGTGTTTTTATATTTTCACATTTTATACAGGCAAATTCATGCTGTAAAATGTCTAGTTGTGATTGCCATTGTGTTGTTATTTAGGTAACGTTAACCCTGAAAATGTAATGTGTTCTGGTATGGTGGTTGCAACCACCTCTTTTTGTCTGAATAGTTCATATGTTATCAGTACACAATCAAGTAATAAATAAAGTTAAATAAAACATTATGTTTCATTTGTGTGTTCTGTGTTTCTTCTCTATTAAACGTTTACCAAATTTAATTAGCCTGAAAATGCTGAAGAAAAAAACGACTCGTTAAAAAGATTTGACTCCAAGAATCAGGAGTCGGGCATCGCTAGCAACTTCCGGAAAACCAACGTGTGCTGAAGTCACATGTGCGCGAGTTCACAGCAGTATGAGTGGCACATGTTCTCTGGTAACTTTAGTACATTAAAGCCTCTATATATTTACTGAGTGTTCTAAAGAAGAGTCGGAAAATTTGAGGAACGCGGTTTTGTTAAACTGTGAGTATCCGATGACTACCGTTTTTACAGTATTTTTTTAATGTCTTTATTAGGTCACAGTAAGCTAATGTTAGGCTCGTAGTTCGCAGCCGTGCGACTTAGTGTCCAGAATACACATCGTGTTTAATCTCAACATGGTTTTACATTTACTGCAACAATTTAAATATGAATATTTAATATTTTTGTGGCCTTATGAATGTTGGCACATGTTAAAACTAGTTTCGTGTTCCTAGCTAACAATCAACCAGCCTGTTATGAAAGTAATTTAAAAGTTGTAATTCTCACCACAACAGGCAGATATATGTTTAAATACAAGGGAAAACTTTAATAAATTAGTGTTTTTACTTTAAAGTGGGATACACTGTATACTGGAAGAAAGCCACATGAGACAATCCATATACAGTGTAGTGTTTGCAAGCTTAGAGATATGCTTGACGTTAAATGATGTTGATTTTTTTTTTACTTGCAGCAGTGCTGTAGCACAACCTTATAAGTGTCAAGCATGGGAAGGAAGTTGGATCCCACTATTAAGGTGAAAAGAGGACCAGGACGTAAGGCCAGGAAACAGAAAGGAGCAGAAACTGAGCTCTCCAAGTTTTTGGCTGATGGTAAATGGCACATATATTAATATATGTTAATTTGTTGTTATTTTCTTAATTAATGCATGCTTGCTTGCATTCTTAATTTGGTTTCTAATTTTGTTCAACTGTCTCTTTTCACAGATGAGGGGCCAAAAAAACTTTCAAGCAGAGCAAGGAAACGGTAAATTTCTCATGATATGAAAACATTTAATAATTTCTTATCTATACTGAGACCTTATTTTTTTTAATTGTATGTATTTTTTATTTGTGCAGAGCTGCAAAGAGAGCCCAGGTTACCAATCAGCTCAAAGAGCCTAAACAAGAGGAAAAGCCCAAAAAAGGTATTGCATTTTAAAGGGAACCTATTATGCACTATTATACAAGATGTAAAATAAGTTGCTGATGTTTCTAGAGTGTTTATGTGAAGTTTTAGCTCAAAATACCACATTAATATTTTTTTAGAACTCTTTGAAACTGCCCCTTTTATGCTGCGTTTACACAAGATGCTGAAGAAGCGCAAGTGATTTTACATGTTAAGTCAATCCAACGATGCGGATGGAAATCCTCTGGCACGATACGCGTGAATGACATGGAGCAAATGATGTGATTTATACGCATGAAGCGTTGCGAGTTGAGCGATTGCCGCACACATCGCAGGATTATGACGTAGCGCCTGTTGTTGGTCTCCTGGGGAAAAATCCTCCTGCCGACACCGACAATAGTTCATCAAACTGGGCTCAGCTCACTCAGAACCACCGCTGGAAGCTTCCATCATCCAGGTACATTTTCTGGAGGAGTTGAAGAACTCGCAGAGCTGGGTGCACCACTGAATGGATTTAGTGGACGCAGACATGGCTCCAAACGAATTGACGCTGTTTTATTTTAGTTCTCCGAAAGCACAGAAACAGCAATTTTCTCAATAAAATCCATGTTAGCCATTTAGCAATGAAGCTAGAGTCATTGGGCAGACAGAATCCCCCGACCATGATGCTAATCCACGTCTGTTGTGAAGTGAATTTGATGAGCAAATAAAGCGAGTAAACTCAAAATGCTGAAATGAGTGAATATTGCCAGGACGGTCAACACAGCTTTAGGCTTGATCCAAATTGTGCTGTATTGATGACTGTCCCTTTAAATTTAAATGGGATGGTGTTCCCAGCACTCTTTTCAAAAGAGGGTGGAGCTATAAACACCCATGTTTCACCGTAGTAGGAGATTAAAGGTGGACAGCTGCTTTTCTCTTGTGTCTGTTTAATTCACTGAGGGAGAGATTTGTCATTAATGGGAGGGAATTTCTCCCTATTGACATGTGCAAAGGGAAAATGTCAATCAAAATGTTTTTGCAAGCTTTTTTATTAGGTGTTTAAGAATAGACTTAGTAATTTTTACTGTTGAGGCAGGCTATATTCACACACGGTTACCACACAACTGTGTTTAAACCCCTTATAAAGTGATTTTTTTTAATATTAAAGGCTCCTTTTAAAATTGAAACTAATGGAATAATAGTGTCATTATACTCAAGTTTGCTAATCAATTTATGCATATTTCAGGTTTTTCTGATGAGAATAAAGAGTGGCTGAAACCTGCACAGAGGAAGCGAAAGATTGAACAATCTGAGGAAGATGAGGATAGTGACAGCCAATGGGAAGATGATGATGATGATGATGATGATGATGTCGATAATGAGCAGACATTTGATCACAAGGATATAAAGAATGAAGATGATGATGATAAAGATATGGTTGATGACTATGGTGCTGATGAAGGTGATGAAAAAGACAGCGATGGAGAAGAGGTATGGAATTTTTTTTTAAACCAGTGAAACTAATATTTGTATCGGGGGAAGTTTTGACATTGCCAGATGTCATTAACTGGTTCATATGAACTGAAGTGCTATAATATAGACTATTTTGAGGGATGTAAACAATAACAATAGCATTGATTCATTTCCTAATTTACATTATCATAATTTTCATTGCTTCCGAGAATTAAAAAAAAATATATATATATATATTGAGATAATCATATGGAAGGTGTTTTAATGTAAAGTTATCATTGAATTGGCTTAACAGTCAAAAAATAGTTGGATTATTATTTCTGTTTTAGTTGAAAACAAGCAGGAAGTTTTCATGAGGCAATGACATCACCACATTGAAATAGTCTATATAGTTTTTACACTGCCTTTATTTTCTTTTACTGCTACCACAAAATAAGGTTCAGAAAAAAAGCTGTCTCCAACAGTAAAGCATGCTTGACTTAATTTTGCTTAGAGATTCACTGGAAGCTTTATCAGCAGCATATTGTTTTCTTTTCTTGGATTAGTATTTAATTGGGCTGTCAATATTTATTTTTTCACTAAAAAGAAAATGCTAAAAACCAATTGGTTGGTACTGTATAAATAAAAATATTCAACATTGAGGCAAGATATTCAGCTTATTACAACCTTTTTACTTCCAATTGACATGTTATAATCTTCAAAAAAAAAAGACAAACTGAAAATATACAGTTTTCTGATGTGGTTTTTTCATTGACAGCTGCTGCCTATAGAAAAAGCTGCAAGAAAACAGAAAAAACAAACAAGCATGAAACCAGAAAGTGATGATGATGATGACGAGGAGGAGGAGGAGGAGGATGACGATGATTACAAAGAAGAGGAAAAGGATGATAGTGAGGAGGAGGAAGAGGATACTGTTCAAGCAAATATTGATACCACAGAAAAATTCAAACTTCCTGGTGCTGCAGACAGAGCTAAGGAGGGTGAGGACAGCTTAAATATAATTATTAATACTCTTTTTGGTCTTTTGAATCTATCAGGTAATGTATCACCGCGTCAGTACACTGCTTCAGTCTTTCACTTTCAAACTTGTACTTAGTAATTTTAGTAAAAACCTCAGATACTGTTGATTGTGCACCTTTTTTACCGACCAACCTTCCGTGGAAAAATTGATTGACAGGTCGTAATTTGTGTTCAACTTCTCTTTTTTTATTTATAATTTGTTTATGGATAAAACAAAGACCATGCAGGTCAGCTAGTTGAAACGGTAGGCTACAAATAATTTTTTTGTTATGAATTAATTCATTATTCATAAATAATTAATTCACCACAGCCTATGATGATGATGCCATCGTCCATTGCGATATTTCACATTAGACAACGCACAATGCCAAATTGGCATTTTCAAATAACTGCTCATGATGAGTAATGACTTGAGTCTTTATTGCAGTTTACATTGAGTAGACAAAGAACTTTACTATAAAGGTGCTGCAACTGGTTTAAAATGAGTAGATTGTCCATGGCAGCAGTGTAAAAAAAACTGCTGTCCTGGTGGATAGATACAACTGTAAAATGCTCATTGGCACTTCTCAAAACTCTAGATTTGACCATGGTATTATAAAGTCTTTTCAGTGTGTAATATATATATATATATATATATATATATATATATATATATTGGTGAATATATGAATATACAGATATACCACCCAGCACTAATATTTAACCCGTTGCCCTAATTACTCATGCATGTAGGTCTTTTACCGATGGACCTGAAGACCATCCATCAGAGGATTAAAGATAATGTGGACGTACTGTCTAACTTCAATGAGAAGAGAGAAGAAGGCAAGGAGAGATCTGAGTATCTGTCTCTACTACGTGCCGACCTCTGCACTTATTACAGCTACAACCAGTTCCTCATCAGCAAACTCATGGATCTTTTCTCTCTTTCTGAGGTTTGTGTTTGGATCTATACATAGTATGAAAGGTTTTGTAAAAAGTTAAATTGTTGAAGTGTAAATGCTTCCTGTTTTAGCACCATCCACTTGCTTCCTCAAAAGGTGTGTGGCTATGCCAACAGGAGAAAGAAAATGTCTGTCATAATCTGAAGTGGTGGATGGTCACACTTTCTCCACCTCTATATGAATTGACAGTACATTTCTCTGATAATGATCATTTCAATGCTGTAATTATTAAAAATTGTTTTCATTTATTAATTGCACTGCAATTTTAAATTTTAGCTGATTGATTTTCTTGAGGCCAATGAAGTTCATAGGCCGGTCACCATCAGAACCAATACCCTAAAAACCAGGAGGAGAGACCTGGCTCAGGTTTGAAACTTATCTTTATTTTTTTTTTTTAACAAAATGTTGTAATGTTTTGAAAGAGAGAGGTACTTTTTATACTGTTTTGTTGTCGATGCTAAGTAAATGTTATTAAATGTGGATCAAAAAGTTGCATGATAAATGTTAAACTGTTTTCTGATTGCTCTAGGATGGACTGGATAGACAGTCAGTCAGTCACCATGTAACCTTAGGCTCTACTCACACTATGTACAGTTGCCTCGAACCGGGCCAAAGCACGCTTATACCCCCTCCTGCTCCCCCGACGGCCCGCACTTACATTACAATCGGGCCTGGGCACGCTTACGTCATCGGTGCTGCGCTAATTTGCAAGCGCTTTCGCTCAGCACAGCGAAGATTGTGACATGCACTGTGGTGACATGCAGTCAAATATTTTGCCAAACAGATCAGCCACTTTTGGCGCTCATAAACAATCATAAAGCCATCTTGCTGCTGGAATGAGGAGGTTTGCTGAAGGTGCGCAGCTGTCGTGCAGTGAGGGTTTTACGTATTTAATAAACTACGGCAGTTTGCGTTCATTGAACCATGAGATTGATTAAGAAATCCATATGAAACAGACCCTTAAAAGTCACGTCTCGCTTTCAGTTTCGGGCTTTGGCACGTTTTGCACTCACACTACGAAACTAAGAAACGCGCACGTGCACGCACACATACTAGAGCCGTGCACAGAGGGGGCGCCCAGTGGCTAGAGCCACTGTCCCTCTGCCCTCATTGGATGAGATGCCCCTCTCAGGAGGCACTTACTCTTCACTTTGCGATCGCGTTGAGCACCTGCCCCTGTAAGGGTCTGTGCTCCCTGCACGGGCCTGACACAGACAAACAGACTCACACACACACAACGCGCCCTTCATGTTTAACCCGCATGATTGCATCATCAAATTTCACAAGGATTCTGACACAGCAACGTGAAGCATACACTTTCGTTGCGTTTAAGTAGGAAACACAACAAACTTGATGAAATATTGGAAGGGTGCATGCTGAAAGGCAAGAGGATGCGCTATCTTTGACAGCTCGTGACTTTATCAGTTTTTTAATTACCTTAATGGACCACCGAGTCACGAAATGCTGAGGTTTTTCTTTCCCTTGGCCATGCGGTATCAAATTCTTATAAAACAAAAGTCGAAGTTAAAATGAAACATCCGAAATTGAATGAAATTCTGGAGAGCCTGGTGATGCGACATTAATGGTTTCATACTAAAACTTGTCTCCAAAAAGTGCTTCCTTGGTCTTATCCATATTTATTTGCATGTTGAACACCCCTTCACTACAACTCCCTCCACCTGCAACTGCGTCAATTGTGTTAAATTTTTTTCTTAACGTGTGAAAAATTTAAAATGAATCGCATGCATTAACATACTTATTTTGACAGCACTATTTATTTTTATTTTAAAGGTGCCTTATAGAGAAAATCTGGCCATAGTTAAATAATAACAGTTCAGTGCCTGGAAATGTCCATATTGTGAGCCTCAAATACCATTGTTTCCTTTTTCTGATGTAAATTACGCTAGTATAAAACCTGGTGGAATACTGGCCAAACAGAACGTGGTACGAACTGTATTGTTTGCTATTTATTAGCTTACCCTTGAGATTTACATGTTCTTTACATTCTATGTCAGCCAGAACTTTGGCAACTTTTAATGGTCAAGGATCTCCTACTTTGTTATTTGACTGACAGGTTAACCAACCAATCACATTTTGCTTTGTGCCACGCGCACACCAGGTTTGTGGATGTGAAAATGTCCTCAGAATATCATCATTAAAAAAAACATATTGCAAAGCATTAGTTTAATACATTGTAGATTAGATTTTGTAATGTAGGGACTGCCTTGAAAACGAAATGCAAACTTGTAGTTGATTGTGGAAATGAGTTTTAGCTGAATGAATGAGTTGAAAATCCAGCTTATGTCACTAGAGAGAATATTATCATTTTTACAAGGTCAGGTTGACGTGAAAATAATTTGCTGAAGTATAGATACTTCCTGTTTTAGTACCACCCATCTGCTTTTTTTCAAGGTGTGTGGCTATGCTAACAGGATAAAGGAACTCTGTCAAGATCTGAAGAGGTGGTTGGCTACACCCCCTCCACTTCTATATGAATTGGCAGTACATTTATGTCAGAAGAACATTTTGTCATTAATTACTCACTCGCCCTCATGCAATTCTAAACCCTGAAGGCTTTTGTTCATTTTTTAGGACACAAATTAAAATATTTTTTGATATTCAAAATCTCCAAAGATGGCAATGGTCAAGCTCAAAGCCTCAAAGTAGCTAGAACAACATCAAAACAGTCCATGTTTCTTCAGTGGTTCAGCTATAATTTAAAGGGGTGGTCCAGAATGTAATTTTAAGACTTGGTTGTGTTAAGATGCAAAGCAATGTGTGCTCATGTTTCACTTGAAGGAAATTGCGTTATTTTTTCATAAATCTTACTTTGATTATATACAGCTACTCGCCTAACAAGAAAACGACTAATATTCCTAGTTCCTCTAAAAGGCCCCCTCAAGTGACTATGAATGGTCATATGTCATAATGTGCTGTGATTCGCGAATCGGCTTTACATCATACCCGTACAAGCATGCGTTTTTTGTGTAAACAGTCAACCTCATCCCTGCTCTTTAAAATAAAATCTGACAAATGTCTTTAATGAGTGAAAATGGGGTGAGGTTCCTCTTAAAGAGTGTGTGTGTGCTTGTGTATACTATGAACTATCTGTAACACGAGAAGCGCATATACGCGGGACTGATATTTATTTTTCTTTTTTTCTGATGCTCGGATTAAGTTATTTTCTGTAATTTACATTGACACTGTCAGGAGAATAAAGCAAAAGATGTGGGATGCGACCTGTGTAAGCCTTGATTTCATTTTTCTGCTGCTACATGAGTTAGTCGAGCTCTGCAGTATTTTTTTAACTCAACACGTTACAGGCCGTCTTTCACATATATCTGGAATATTCCTGTGTAAGTAACATGAATCGTTCACATGTCTTTTGCAAATTTATTATCTAAGATGTAAAATGCATGGAAAAGCTGCCTATAGAGAAACACTACAGTCGCACACACACATAGATAGAGGCTGCATTTGCTGGTGAAGTGTGTGTGTGTGTTTACAGCGGTTTCAGCGGTTCATAAATATGAATTCGTAGCTAAATTGTTAGCGGTGGCTAACAGCATTTCCCGTTGTTTACATCTTTGCTACAACATCATTAAGACTAGACACTGTACATGTAATGATCAATTTTAACTAGGGATGGGAAGATTAACCGATATGTATCGATACGCGGTCATGCGCGTGCACGATGCGAGTGCATCGGTTGAGCAGCAGAGGATAAATGAAATTTTGGAAGCAAATCGGGATGCATCGGTTTTTGCGAGATGCATCGATTTTTCCGAGATACAGCTTATATTTTTAATATAGAATGTATTTTTTATTTATTAACAAGTGTTGTCAACCTGTTTTTGGCGCATAATTTAATCGACCTACATTAAGTAAGCCTTAGCAACGGATTTGCGGATGTGCACACACTACAACTCAGTGTATCAGGTGTGCGGATGAAGCTAGTGGAGCGCCCTCAGAAAGCGCGAGAAGCAAAACAAACATTTTATTCCCCACTGAGTTTTAAATCTAAAGTATGGCAAGCAACATTATGGATTTAAGGATGGACGACATGACAGGACAGATGCAATTTGCAAAATGTGCCGCGCATCTGTAAAATACGCGGGCAGTATGACTAATTTGAAATCTCACTTGAAGAGACGCCACGGTGTTGTTGTGAAAGCATCTTCCAGTGTTTCTGCATCCCCGGCTTTCGCACTGCTTCAACCAGCTCCAAAAGTGGTGAGAAAAGCATTGCAAGTTTTTTTTCCATGCGCAACAGTTCTGCTCACTCTACGCCAATAACGAATGTTATTGCATTGTTCATCTGCAAAGATATTCAGCCTAGTGTCACAGAGAACGAAGGTTTTAAACACCTCCTCCTGTTAATTTTTATTTAATTATAATAATAATAATATTAATAATAATAATGATAAAATAATTGGGTGTCACGGTGGCACAGTGGGTAGTTTGACCACCTCACAGCAAGAAGATTGCTGGTTTGTTATATTTTTATTAGCCTGTTGTTTACAGTGACAGTGATGTTTCAAAGCAGCATAACACTGCTAGTTCACAACCTTAAGTTTTGAATAATCAGTGGCAAAATATATCTTTGTAAAACTTGTTTTCATAGTTGAAAAGTTAAATCACAATTATTGTTGTGCAATGCTAAATTTATTTATGTTGAAAGAGTGCAAATATATACATATTTTTTAATATATATTGCGCTTATACATTCTGTTTATCTTGAAAATACTTAAATAATATGTGCTATATGTTCTAAAATGGCCCTCTACTGTAAACTGACACTCTGGCTCTGAGAGAAGAGCCAGTTTGTAAAAAAAAGTCTTGGTTTTGCTTGGTTTATAAATAATCAAACTCATTCAATGGCACAGCATCCTCTTTCACATCATCTCATAAACTTGATCTAATTAGTTAGTGCTGAATTATCGCATCGTATCGTGATATGGGTGTGAATCGTATCGTGTTGCATCGCAATATGTCACAAATGTATCGCTAATATATCGGATCGTATTCTTTGTATCGAGATGCGTATCGGATCGGCATTATAGCTTAGATGCCCAACCCTAATTTTAACAAATAAAATCACTTACGTGCCTCAAGAGTTCACAGCGTCTGCTTGTTGTAGCTGCTCCATCTTTGAGGAGATATTAACCGAATCCAGCACTGAACTGGGAGAGATTCTGGAAGCTGTGTTTTTTTTAATTATGCTTGCTATGTATTTTATAATTCTCTGGAACATAATTAATATTGAACTTTACGCACTTCTGTCTTTGTCGTTACAACGCCTCTGGCCACGGCCCTTAGCTGCGCAGTGTGCGCGCGGTAAAAGTACGCTTGTGATCTCACAAGACCCGGTAGTATTTTTTTGTAGTTCCCAAAATTCGTACAATGTAGGCTTTGCTAAGCTAACTCTGTAAAAACTAAGGTCTCCCTTTGCATTGAACTTTGAGCATTTTACATTCAGAGATGCTGTTTATGTTCACACAACTACATTACACACCACCCCTTTATTAAAGCAGAGAATGAGAGCACTTTGTAAGTGCTTTATTAAGCCATTTTGTCTCTTTATTGACAAAATATGCATTGTGACACATGAAATAAAAGTTTTTATGAAATAAGTCACATTAAATAGTTTAACAATGTTCTTGGTACCTTTCTGGGCTTTTAACATATAAAGGGTCAAAGAGCTCTCAGATTTAATCAAAAACATGTTAGTTTGTGTTTAGAAGACTTAAAATTGTTAGTGCTTTGTAAAGACTGACTCCTGTTGTGATTTTGGCCATGAATTGGTTGTCTGAAACACATTTTCTAAATCCAGAAAGATTCCTATATTCCTTGGCTAAAATTGTTTAAATAGCCAATTAATGGCCATTGCGATCAAATTCTTCCTCTTTTGGAATTCTTGAAGTGTCTGAAGATATCCGAAAATTTCCTGCTGTCTGACCTATGACTATTGTCAAACTACGAACTAATTGACGTGGTTAAACTGAAGATACAATCAATATGACTAATTCTGGGAAACAATATTGTTTTGTTTTTTTAAACAATGTTTAAATGTTGCTACAAGATAGACACTTAACAAGTGTCTTGTTTTACAAGTTTTCAAAACGTTACACCTGTAACAGATATTATTACTGTGCAAAAATGGTCAAAGTGGTTATACAGATGTCAGTCTGGTTCACAGATATCTTGTGTAATCTAATGGTTCATTCATACCATAGGCTCTGATTAACAGAGGAGTAAACCTGGATCCATTGGGGAAATGGTCAAAAGTGGGGCTGGTTATCTATGACTCCTCTGTTCCCATAGGTCAGTTTCAAAATAAGATTTTTTCATTGTTCTTTATTTCTGGTGACCGTAAGCTCAAATGTCAATAATAATCGTTTGTTTTTTATACAGGAGCAACTCCTGAATATTTGGCAGGCCATTACATGTTACAAGGCGCATCTTCTTTTTTGCCTGTAATGGCTCTGTCTCCCCAGGAGGGGGAGTCCGTGTTGGATATGAGCGCCGCTCCTGGAGGCAAGACCACTTATATGGGTGAGCATATGCTTCTCTACGGCAGTCAGACCAACTGCTGTGTTTTTGTAAAGTGGCTAATCTCTTTTTTATTAGCACAGCTGACACACGAGAATAAAAGCAATGTGAAAACATGCACTATTATCTTTCTACAATAACAATTGAAGTGTCAGAATAGGTTTTTAGAGTTTGTGTATAATATGTCTGGTGCAGCTCAGCTCATGAGGAATACTGGCATGATCGTGGCTAATGACGCAAATGTAGACAGACTGAAGAGTGTGGTGGGAAACATCCATCGCCTCGGTGTCACCAACGCTGTCATATGCAACTATGACGGCAGACAGTTCCCAAAGGTCAGCACTATTTTTTTTTTTCTTCAATCCTATTTGGTCATGCAATATTTCACACTCGGTAGACCTTTTTGTTTTTTACTGTTCTGTTTTGGCTACATTTAGAATTATACATGTATTTCTGTTGGCTTAATGTGGTTAGGTGTTATATCATCACCTTAGAATTATAAGGTTCTATCTGACATTTTTGTCAAAATTGAGTTATTCACATATTCTTTTTAAATGGCAACTTATTTACATTATGGGATGTGTTTTTATATGTTGTTTACATTTTAAGGCTTTTTATTTAAAAAACAAAAAAGGTGTATCTACAAAGTTAAACTTTAGTTTGGCTCTATAAGGTTCTATCTGTGAGCCAATCAGCATTTTTAATGCATGCACGAGGACCAATTAGGATTAGCTTTCTTTGTCATTTCGCCGGATTGCTCCATTGACAGCAGGAAACACCAGAAAGACAAAATCACACAAAATCAGAGTCGACTAAATAATGCCACACCACACAAAATTAAATGTGTGTAAATGTAATGATTTAAAAGCATTTCTTGACACTGAGATTCATTCATTCATTTTCTTTTCGACTTAGTCTCTTTATTAATCTTGGATCGCCACAGCGGAATGAACCGCCAACTTATCCAGTATATGTTTTACACAGCGAATGCCCTTCCAGCTGCAACCCAACACTGGGAAACACCTATACACACTCAATTACACACATACACTCTGGCCAATTTTAGCTTATCCAATTCACCTGTACCGCATGTCTTTGGACTTGTGGGGGAAACCAGAGCACCCAGAGGAAACCCACGCAAACACAGGGAGAACATGCAAACTCCACACAAAAATGCCAACAGACCCAGCCAAGGCTCGAACCAGCGACCTTCTTGATGTGAGGCAATCGTGCTACCCACTGTGCCAACGCATCGCAAACATTGAGATGAAATGCTCAATTTTATATTGTGGAAAAATAAATTAATATTTAAAAATTTGTATATTAAATGTAAAACATTTTTATTTGTGTATATATATAGTCAGTGAAACACTTTTCAGTGTTTATTAAACTCATTTGCTCATAGTCTGTTTCTTTTAAAGTCTATACCTTTAATATTAAGCCTTGAAGGGCAAATACTTAATTCATTTCATGGGGAATATAATTCAATAAATATAATTTAATAATTTATTTAAAGCATAAAATTTTTAAAATATGAACATAATAATTAGATAAAATTAACAGCTGCACTGGAAAAAAAAATAGTACAGCCTTGTATGCTTAATTTTAAAAGAAAAAATATTTATCCTAAAACATGAAATAAATGTTACAGAAAGCAAAATTTTAACTTTCTCAAGCATCAACATGTTTTTACAACACTAAACTATATATATTTTTATTGTATTTCTTGATAAGTAATGCTTCAATGAATGATCTGCCAGATAGAACCTTATAATTCCAAGCGGAAAATGACTTTTCAGAATGAGAAGGTTCTATCTGCATTTAGCGTGGTTTATTTACTCCAATTTGCAAAGAGAACTTTGATAATTTACATTAAGAGAACCCTTAGGGTCTCTGTCATGTTAATGTATGAAAAAGATCTGTTACACACATGTTGTTTGCTATATAGAATGCAAAAACTTTGAAGCTCAATATCTTAAAATCATTCAGAACGCAGATAAAACCTTATAATTCTAAGGTGACGATATGTGTCTTTTCTGAGGTGTTTTGTGTTGAATTGTAGGTAATGGGAGGATTCGACAGAGTGCTTTTGGATGCTCCTTGCTCAGGTACTGGAGTCATTTCCAAAGATCCAGCAGTGAAAACCGGCAAGGTAATTCTGTTCTGAAAACCAACTGTTTGTGTCCTTTTAATTTTTTGGTATTTGATCTTAAGGTTTTTGACCACATGCTTCAGTCTTTATTCTGAAGACTGTTGCAATTTTTATTTAAAGTTCTAAAATGTCTTTGTTTTCTTTTCTCAGGATGAGGCTGATATTCTTCGTTCAGCTCATTTGCAGAAGGAGCTCATTCTGTCTGCTATCGACTCTGTCAATGCTGATTCTCAGACTGGTGGATACCTTGTTTACTGCACATGCTCTATTATGGTAAGTTTTTAATCTCAAACTCAGACTAATTAAATTAAGCCTGGTTTATACTCGAAGCGTCCGCTAGTTTTCTTGAGTGTGCGTGACGATTGTAACATTTTCTATGTGTTTGCGGAGGTTCGTTTACGGAGGGTGCACGCGATATTATTTCAGCTGGAGGAGCGCATGATCTTTTATGAGACTCGAGCAAAGTTTGCTCTGTGCCACATTTGATTTGAGTTGAATACTAAACACTTTGAAGAGAGTTTGTCTGAAACGGGTACGCCTGTACAGACATCTTTATGATTCTTGATCATAGAGATGACCAGATGATCAATAATTCTTGGCTTGAAATTCGGGGAAAAGGAGGAAAGTTTTTGTTAAAGTTTGGAAAAACCTGAGGGATGAGTTTGTTAAAGCCAAAAGAGGTCATGGCAAAAGTGGAGACCCAGGTACACAATTACAGAAATATGTTTTTCCAGTAGTCATAGGTTTTACACTGTATATGTTACAATTTTGAATTTAAAACAATTTAATACAAAAATATAATTAAGGAACAGATTCTTTCTTTGATAACCGAAAAGAAATATTTTAACCTATTGGTTTAAAATATACGTATACCCAGTTTTACTACGGTTTAAACTGATAATGGTCAGGAATGTTGGACCATTATTGCCTTCTTAGCATAATTATAGGACAGAAACTAGCCAAACAGTAATGTGTGAATTGTTTAGTGAGCTAAATCTGTATTTTTAGTATGTATACTTTATTTTGCTTTTATTCTTGCCATAATATATATATATATATATATATATATATATATATATATATATATATATATATATATATATATATATATATATATATATATATATATATATATTTGTAGAGCAACCCATTTTCTGTTGTCAATGATATTTTAATAAACTTTATTTGGTAAAACTGTCCGAGATATGAACAAAAGTAAGTGATGCATCAAAGTTTGATTAAAAAAAACTTGTATGATTCAAAAAATCCTAATAATCACTTAAATAATTTATAAAAAGAATAAGTTTAAAAATGTTGAATATTAATGATATGACAAAGTTTCAGAAATTTTCTACTTTTCTGTTTATCCGTCTGATTTTACGGTCTGTTTCTTTTGACCTCCCCCTGTCGTTTTAAAGAATATCACAATGGCGAACACAAGACTATTATTGTTGTTAAATATTGTTAAATTATTGTTAAATCTCAAACATATGGTAAAACAACAGTAATAATATTAGGCCTGTGTGGAGGTCTACTGTAGCGTAAAATACTGTATGTTAAAATTTTGTATAGACTTGGAATAGTTGACTTGAACAGACTCAAATGGTTATTAACAGTACAGTTATTATACCAGAATATAATCGCGCACACGCCCCTACTCGGATACGTCGCTCACTCAACCTCCAAAATCAACTCTGTATCCGCCGTAAAAAACGTTTCCCAACTTGGGATGTCTGTGTTGGTGGCACATTAGTATGCATGAGCGGGCCAATTTTTCAAGATGGGTGGTGACCATGGTGGCCATTTTAAAGTCGGCCATTTTAGATCCAACTTTTGTTTTTTCAATAGGAAGAGGGTCATGTGACGCATCAAACCTATTGGGAATTTCACACGGAAAACAATGGCGTGCTTGATTTTAACATAACTTTATTCTTTCATGAGTTATTTACAAGTTTCTGACCATTTATAAAATGTGTTCAATGTGCTGCCCATTGTGTTGGATTGTCAGTGTAACCCTCTTCTTCCACCCTTCACACACTGATAGCAACACGGCAGAAGAAATTTCAGCACAGGCTTCCAGTATCCGTAGTTATAGGTGCTGCACATTTTGTATCTTCACATTGCATACTTCACTATTCATAGCCTATGCAGGTTATGTACATTAAAGTAGACCTCAATTGTGTCTTCTCGGTAGTAAACAAACAATGTGTCAGCTCACGTGTGATTTTTGCGGCCACAAATGCATCATTACGTTAAGCCAGAAATGTACATTTTTGAGGTGAATTATTCCTTAAATACAGTATGTGACTGTATTTGGAGGTACGCATTTGAAACAATGTGAAGACTTGTGCGACTGCCTTTATTCTTCTCCTGAACTTGAAAAATAATTGTCAAGTCAATTAAATGCATCCTTCATGAAAGGATTATTTTCTTGAAATAAATTACTACAGACACAAGACAGTGTTGCATCCAGGACACTTCTTATGATTCCCCAAATTACTCAATGTTCTCATCTCACATTATATGACAACATTTGTCTCAGAGGAGATGACAAACCATTTAGGCTTGACCGGAACAAATGACCAATTCCTTCAAGGTCAGTGATCATAATGCTTGAGATATCATATCCTGGGCTCAAGTTCCATCAATACATTTTTTTGGCCTGGAAATAATGAACACTTCATGGCCTCAAAGTTTTACAGTCTAAAAATTGTATACAAATCTTAGTTTCAAAACAATAAAGAAGCAACCTGTGAACTAAATCTGAGTTGATGGTGAAAGCCTTTTAAGTTTCTGTCTGATTATGGACTAAAGCAGATATTGCAACATTTTAGAGGAAAAGTGAAACAGGTAGATGTAAAATGTATTAATCTATATTTTAAAAGCTAAAGTATGTCTGCTGAAATATGCCAATTTTCTGTCCATTTGGTATGAGATTTGATTTGTCTCTATAGGTGGAAGAGAATGAGTGGGTGGTAGATTATGCTTTGAAGAAGAGAAATGTTAAGCTTGTCCCCACTGGATTGGACTTTGGCAAAGAGGGATTTACCAGGTAATGAGATCTTATTTGAAATTCATCAACAGTAATAAAGGTTATAGTCCTAGAAATTAAGTTCAAGTGTGTTTGCCAGAGAAATTATAAAGTGCATTTTGAAAATCTTGATCTCTTCTCTGTAGATTCAAAGAGAAACGTTTCCATCCTTCTCTTAAACTGTCTCGACGATTCTACCCTCACTCTCACAACATGGATGGGTTTTTTGTGGCCAAGCTAAAGAAGCTGTCTAACACCATCCCTACTGCTCCAAAAGAAACAGGTGTGTGCTTATTTCAAAAGATTTTATCCACAAATTTGTATTGTATTTTATTTAAAATTTTTAAACATATTCCTTAGAAAATCAAGAAGAATCACTTGTAATGGAGACTGCAGCTTCATCAGAGATGAAAGAACAGAAGCCTGCTTCAACTCCAGAAAAAAGCAGCTTTGAAAAGAAACAGAAATTGAATCCTCAAACATCCAAGCCACTCATCGTTAAAAAGAAAGCTGAGAATAAAAAAACTGGCCCCAAAAAAGCCAAAATTGCCAAGCTGGATAGTGAAGCTGCAAAAAAGTTTGAGAAACCTAGCAAAAAACAGAAGGGAAAGCAAATGAATGGCAATCCAACAACAGAGGGGATAAAGGAGAAGAAAGAGGGCAGTCCATTCAAGAAGAAAGAAAACAAAACCAAAAAGAAGAACCTGCTGAAGAAAAAGAAGAACAGAATGGGGAAAAACAAATTTAAGAAGTTAAAAAGTATGCTTGGACAGCAAGAAAGTGGCCAGTGAACTTTAGTCATCTGACAGTAAATTGACATGGACCTATATGCTCAGGACTGGGATCTGTCAGTGGTTTGACCCAAGACAGTAAGTTAAACCAGTCCCAGCTTGCTGTTGGGGACTCAAAGATCATTCTTTAGTAACTTACACAGTGAATTTGTGTATTTATACTGCTTTTCAAGACTGTCAACCTTACTGATTCACCAAGAAGGTTACTTCAACCTTCTTGTGATATAAATGTCATAAATGTAAATGTCATTGTCTGCTTTTGATTCGTAAACGAAGAAACATTTAACAGAAATGCTGCAAAGAATGTGATATGCCAGTTTTTTTCATTACACTTATTAAAAAAAAAGTAAAAAATATATAGTTTATTGGCTTCCTCTGAGAGACTGAAATAGTTTTCTGCCTTTTTAATCTGACTCTTTTTTTCTGCCTTTGAGGACATCACCTCAGAAGTCGGATCACAAACTATTGAGGTAGAAGTGAAATTTTTCTTTCAGACCGAGTGCATCATGAGTGCTGTTCAGCAAAACCTTTTGACTTCTCTTTTCACATCATTTGGCTCCTGCTGCAGAACATTTGTCAGTGTGCAAAAAGTTTTCTTCAGGTTCAAATGGCTAAAACGCTCTGTGGATGAACTTCAGCTATATGCTATCTTTCTTCCTACCCTTTTGGCCAGATGCCCACGTAACCATAGTAACCCGCATATCGTATTGTGTGCGGCGAAGCCCTGAGCTCATACCCTCTGAACTGTGATACTTTCTCTGTGCTTTGTATGGAATCCTTCTGTCTCCACAAAAGATGGCCCAAAACGCCATAATTATCGCTGCTTGTTCCTCCCAAAGCTGTTAAATCTGTTGAAATGTAGTGCATGTGTAGGCAAAGCGTTTATTTTAATCACACTGCAGTGATTACATGCAAGGAGATAATTTAAGGTTGTGCCTGAAGGGTAAATGAAGCCATTGAGCAGGCCTGTGGGTAAAACACATTAGATCAGAGTAGTTTGGCACCCAGTTGATTAAGTGGTATTGTAGAAGGGTAATTATCATTCACCTGCACATATGATTGCAGGGATGGAGTGTCCAGTCTGTGTTTAACAAGAACTACCTCTTCTGTTTTGTACTGTACTGATTAGTTTTTGTTTCTAGCATTTAACTAATCTATGCTAAAGTTATTTAATTTATTTAATGGTGCTTGCCAAGTAACGCTATTTGTACTAGTTATTTGAACAAAGCCATAATCAGTGGATCTCAAGTGTCTAGTTTAAACTGGGCTAAAAATTTGTTAGGAATTAAAGCTAATTAATGAAAGGTGTGTTCTTATGTAAAGCAAAACGCAGAAATCATTTAGAAATTTAGCATCTCCTGTTTCAAATCTCTGCATGGGTTTAAGTTCAATAAAAAAAAAAATGTTAAGACTAAAAAAATGTATCAAAGTTTGTGAAGTGATTCAAATCTACCTGTAGTTGTTGAGGCTTTAAAATAAGTTTAGATTATTACGATTAACAAGCAGAGCTGTTTGTCTGTCAATGGATGTCTTGCTGGGTATTCACCATGGATGCTAGTTAAGATAGTTTTACAAAAATAGATCATCACTTGATTGTCTCAAACTCAATTCCTGGAGGACCATAGCTCTGCGCGGTTTAGCTTTAGCCACCTCTAACTCACACCTGCTTAAAAGTCTCTAGATTAGTTGGATCAGCTGTGTTTGATTAGGGTTGGACCAAAACTGCAGAGCTGCAGCCCTCCAGAAGTGGAGTTTGCGACAAGTTTTACTGGATAAGGTATTACTTCCACATAGATTTTTAGTTACTCCTGCAATGAACAATACTATGTCATAAGCCTATTGGGCCATTTGAATGGCAGTAAAGTAATGCTGCTGTCATACTGGAGTTTGAGCTTGCGAAATTCTGTAGTATGGTGCTGTGAAAAAGGGCAGGATTAAACAAGATAATTAGTGTAGTGGCACACCTTTTGTGCAAATCCTTATGTATCACCTTTTGCAGCTTCAATTCCAACAACCAGTATGTGCAAAAACGCGAGTAAGACCGAATCTTCTTTTAAAAAAGGTTTACTGAACAAATGCAATAAAAATACAGTTACAATAGACTCGATCAGCTCGGTCAAAAAACTGTGTTGCTTCCAACATCCATAACTGCAATCTGACTTATGAACGTATGAACTAATGACCTCATGACGTATTACTGTTGTAAGGCAAAATACCAAAGTAACTGTTTTTGAATTATATTAATTATTAAATTATGCATTTTAGATAATACAATCACAGTGAATTCTTATTTTATTTTAATATTCGTTTTTATCATGTTTTAACCTTAACTAAATTATTATCACAAATGAATTATGCATAACTGGCTCTTACATTTAGACATTTACACAATTGAGCGAGAGAGGTCATGTTTTGCTCTTCGATTGGTCTCACGCAATTATGTAATGCGATTTCGCAGCTCAGAGTTCACCAAGCTTGAACGTTACAACACAATGAACTGCAAAACTTGTGCACGAGCTTGCGTTTCCGGTCTGACACATTCATGTGCTTATGAATGGTAGTCTATGGGGAGAAAAGTCCAGTGTGACTGCAGCTTAATGCTAATAGGTAATATATGTAACAGTAGCTGTTTCCATTCAAAACTTTGTGTGATCCTGAAATATGGCATGAAAGACGTGCTAATAAAGCAGCATTACCATCCAACAAGTCAAAGAGAACAAAATCGTCACTTCCTGAATAACTGGCGCCAAATATCAGCAGTAAAAATTGAATTTTCGGCGGTAGAATAAGCTGCGTGAATATTTTCTTCATTTAATAAATTACTTGCACCTCAAAAGACAATGAATGCGCGGTGGCGTTTTAAGGCGTCAGACTCTGAGCACAGACACTCTTGTCAGTTCTGGAGGTAATAAATATTTTAATAACTATTACTGAAATGTTTAAGGTGTTTTAGAATGACCAAAACAACATTTCAGATTTTTTTACAGTGTGCTCAGCCGGCTGGTTTGTCCATTCACACACATTTTCATCATCACATGATCTCTTGACAAAATAAAATGACTTTTTTTAAAATCCGCATACTGGAATTTTTTTTGGTAAAAGTGTTGTCTTTGTAGTTTATGCGCAACTTATAGAATACAAAGTTTATCCTACTCATTTATGCGCATATGTTTTTTGTTACATTAGATGGATGGAAACGAAGCTACTGACATGGCAAATGCACACTCTGATTGCATTCATATTACACACATTCACAGCATATACTTTTTAAACAGTTGTGCAATAAATTCTATTATTGGATAGGATGAGATATTTGAAGATAATATTGGGCATGTTCTTCCTGCACTCGTTTGGGTCTCCTCTGGGTGCTTCAATTGCCAAAAAAGTCCAAAAGTCCAAAGACATGCGGTACAGGAGAATTAGGTAGGCTAAATTGTCTCTAGTGAATGAGTGTGTATGGATGTTTCCCAGAGATGGTTTGCAGGTGGAAGGGCATCCACTGCGTAAAACATTTTTACATCCATTTGACGGCCATATCTTAAATGGCACCTATTTTACTCTTTTTTCAAGATTTAGGATATTTTTTTAGTGTCTCCAGAACGTGTCTGAAAACTTTCAGATAAAAACACCCATTAGATTATTTACTATACTTTTAAGAATATTGGGATTTTTTTTTTTTTTTTTTTTGCTTAATAACAATGTAGCTGTTTTTGTTGCCTGGCTTTAATGCTATAGTCATACCTGTCAACATTGTTATGTGAAAATAAGGGATATGCCCACCATAATAAAGGATTCTCCCGACCTCCTTTAAAAAAAATCCCCAAATTACTAAACATGCTCATTTGGAGCCGTTTCATTGTAAATAAACAGTTAAATTGTCAGTAACATGTTTTATTATAATTACTTACAAAATAAAAAAAATAAATAGTATACATTAGCAGCAAATAAATTAGCAAACAGATCAGCTTATTAAAATAGCTATTATAATGAAATAGAATCAAATCTCATTAGCCGTTTCTTCACTGTATAACGTATACATTCTGATTAAGAGCAACGAATGAATGTATTATTTAGATTTTTTTTTTCGTTTGATTAAAATAAATAACAGTGGTCACTTTAAAAATGCACACATCTAACATAATAAAAGCATTTGACTGCTTTTCTAACTATTTATTCTCATTTAGGACTAAATAACTTTTGTTTGGAAAAAACACTCACCAAGATCAACATCTTTTGATATTAAAGAGCTCATATTATGGGTTTTTGAAAATTCCCCTCCATGTAGTGTGTAACACAGCTCTAAGTGAAGTGAAGTATCCTGCTAAGGCTTAAATCTGTAAGAATACAGTGTTTAAAACGGTTAATTCATCTATAAAAGAGTCGACTCATAGTGCTTCAAACGAGTCGCCTTGATACCGAGTCATTAGGTGTTTCGCCATGACGTACGAACGAAACCAAGTTATTCACATGCACGCGCAAACCCGGGAGATTTCAAACCTGAGGCCCCGCCCTCTGACGCAGAAACCCAGACACTCACACACACCCACAAACACATGCACACAAACATGCCGGTCGATTGAAGTCACACTGCAGATGGATATTATCGAGGGTCTACCCAAAGATGAAACATCAGCATTATAACCAAGCAGTTGGAAACTACTGGAAAATACAAGCTACAAATACTTCATCTGCGTTTGTTAAAGTAAAGATCAGTAAAGAGTAAGTTAACTTACTGATGGATGTCAGGATGGGTTTCTTCCTCCATTTCTCAAGTGTAAGTACGTGCGATTAAAGTTGTTGCCTTGTTGACTCTAGCTTGCAAATGTATTTAGTTGTGATTTGTTACTTGTAACCGAGTGTACTGTATCAGGTTAACTGGCTGTATTCTCTTATCGCGTGCATAGTCACGTTAAAAACGCGACGCGTGCTGCTTTGTTTATGGAGCTCCGTAGTAGAGGTCTGCATTCCCGCGGCTGTCCCTGCGCCGGATTTCTGCGGCGAGGGAATAAATTTCCGACTAAATCGCGGGAGCGGTCGGTAACGGGTTTAATTTGGGATGGGAGCGGGCTGTCTAGCAATATCACGGATATTGCTATGCGAATGAGACAGAGAGAGAGCTTTGCCTGTGTGTCTGCTTGGTGCTTATTTGCCACCCTTCAGAGCAAGATTTAAATTACGAGAGAAATTCTGGAAAATACCTTCACGGGATCATAGCGGGACAGAACTGTAAAATAGGGGAGAATCCCTGGTAAAACGGGAGGATTGACAGGTATGATAGACTATAGTTCTCCCCAGCCACGTGCCTGTCAGATTGTGCCTTAATCTCTGCTTAATTATGCAGACTTTTATATAACTT